CCCCCCCCCCCCCCCCCCACGCTCCAACTCGCCCCGGAGGGGCTGCGCTCGCGGACTGCTGCCTTGTGCGGGCTCCCGGCTCGCTGGGAGAGGCTGCGCGCCGGCCGCCTTGCCCTCCTGGCGGGCCTGGACCCCTGGAGGAGGCGCGCAGGCACCGGCGTCCGTGCTCCTAGCTGGCTGGAGCTCTAGAGGGAAGGCAAAGAGCTAAAAACTGGCAGATTTGACCGCAAATTCGTGTTTTGGGTGAAGAGACGCAGAGGGACTTCGATTTACTCACTACAGCGGGCTCAGCACGCCGGCAGACAAGGCCCCCGGCCCGCCCAGGCCCCCCAGCCCGACCCGGAGGAGAAGGGAGCAGCTGCTTCTGGCTCCGCCCCCAGAGCCTGGCCGGAGGCCCGGAATTGCCCTAAGGGGGTTGCCAGGGGGTCGCCTGCGGCAATTTCAGCGGGGCCGAGGGCGCTTGGACTGGGATTTGGAGGCTGGGACTGGCCTGGGTTGAAAAGCGCAACAAACTTTGGCTGAGCCCCCGGCCCTGGGAGTTTATACGCTCTTAAAAGTGAGGTGGAGCGCCACCAACTCCTCCTTACAACCTCCAGGCAGAGCTCCCGTCTGATGCATTGGATCACACCACGCCCGTCCCTGCTTGAGAGCTACCCTCCTCCCTTCCCCCGCCTTTTTTTTTTCTTTTTTTTTCTTTTCTTTTCTTTTTTTCCCCAGAACACTGACCTGATTAACTCTGGTCACCGGCGTGCTTAAACAATCACATGTAGTCCATTCTGTAGATGTAAATTCTATACCTCCTGACCTTTTCATCTCTTTCTCTCAGGAGTAATTAGACTATATAGTTTCTCTGGATAATTCCAGCACCCTTCTCTCACCTATCCAACCATATTCTACCCTTTACCTCTTTGAAAAAAGCTTCTTATCCCTTCTGCCTGTTCATTCTATTTCCAATTGTGTCTCATCCCGCCCTGCTTTCTCTCTGTTTCTCTATGCTCCTCAACCAGCACTGCATACACACGGCTATTTAACTGTAGCTGGGAAATCTGGTTATATCCTTTAAACCGTTCTTTGTCCATCGGTTTTCTTCTTTTTTCCTTTTCCTTTCCCCTTTTTGACCCTTTTATGTATTTTATACTCCCTATTATTCGCCCTCCCTCCTCCATCTTTTCTCTTAACTTTTTCGTTTTCCCTCTCGCTTTGCATGTTAGTTGAATTAGCCTGTGCGTTTGTGTGCTCCTGCTCCCTGTGTGTTTGTCTGTCTGTTTTCTTTTCCAGGGCTACCTCAAGAAACAAGCTAGAGTGCACAAGGTGGAGAGTCCCAAATATCACTACGAATAGGAAAATAAAATAACCAAGGTCCCAACAAGAGAGACCAGGGGATACCATTCAAAAAACACTCTCTGAAAGGGTAGGCCCTGGAAAGTCAAAGAGCCTTCTTGGATATAGCAGTGCTCATAGAAACAGAGAGAATAATAGGTCTTTAAAACCAACAAGAGCCGGAAAGCTAACTAAAATGACGAAACGAAAGACCTCTCCTCCAAAGAAACTCCAAGAAGAAATGACAGCTAATGAACTGCTCAAAACAGATATCAGCAGCATCACTGAACAAGATTTTAGAATAATAATGGTAAAATTAATAGCTGGGCTTGAAAAAAACATAGGGGACATCAAAGAAACTATGGCTACAGACAGAATGGAAAATAAAAATAGGCATGAAGAATTAAAAAATGCGATAAATGAGATCCATAATAAATTAGAGGCCTCCAATGCACGGATTGAAGAGGCAGAAAGGAGAATAAGTGATTTAGAAGACACCATTATAGAAAAACAAGAAGCTGACAAAAAAAGAGACAAACTGATCCAGGAACAGGAAAGAAGAATTCGAGAGCTCAGCGATACGGTCAAACGCAACAATATCCGTATCATAGGAATCCCAGAAGAGGAAGAGAGAGGGAAAGGTGCTGAAGGAGTCCTGGAACAAATTATAGCAGAGAACTTCCCCGACCTGGGGAAGGAAGTAAATGTGGAAGTACAAGAGGCTCAGAGGACTCCCCTCAGACGTAACCTGAATCGATCTTCTGCACGACATATCATAGTGAAAATGGCCAAATACAAGGACAAAGAGAGAATTTTGAAAGCAGCTAGGGAGAAAAGGGCCCTAACATACAAAGGGAAACCTATCAGAGTGGTGACAGACCTATCTACTGAAACTTGGCAGGCTAGAAAGGAATGGCAGGAAATCTTCAATGTGATGAACAGTAAAAATATGCAGCCAAGAATCCTCTATCCAGCAAGCCTGTCATTCAAAATAGAAGGAGAGATAAAAACCTTTCCAAATAAACAGAAATTGAAAGAATTTGTCACCACGAAGCCAGCCCTACAAGAAATCCTGAGGGGGATGCTCTGAAGGAAAGGTTGCAAGGAACAAAGATACCAGAGACACCACCACAAACATGAACCCTACAAAAGATACAAAGACTCTAAACCCACATATTTCAATAATAACACTGAATGTAAATGGGCTGAATGCTCCAATCAAAAGACATAGGGTAGCAGAATGGATTAAAAAACAAAATCCATCAATATGCTGTCTACAAGAAACTCATTTTAGACGGGAAGATACCTTCAGATTAAAAGTAAGGGGATGGAGAAATATATATCATGCTACAGGAAATCAAAAGAAAGCCGGAGTAGCGATACTTATATCAGACAAACTGGACTTTAAATTAAAGACAATCACAAGAGATGAAGAAGGGCACTACATAATAATTACAGGGTCCATCCATCAGGAAGAACTAACAATCATAAATGTCTACGCACCGAATATGGGAGCACCTAAATATCTAAAACAATTAATCACAAACAGAAACAAGCTTATAGATAAGAATGTGCTAATAGCAGGGGACTTTAATACTCCGCTTACAGCAATGGATAGGTCAACCAGACAGAAAATCACTAAAGAAATAATGGACTTGAAAGACACATTGGACCAGATGGATCTGACGGATATATTTAGAACTTTACATCCTGAGGCCAGGGAATTTACTTTCTTCTCAAGTGCGCATGGCACATTCTCCAAGATAGATCACATACTGGGACATAAAGCAGCCCTCAATAAATATAAAAGAATAGAGATCATACCATGCACACTGTCAGATCACAATGCTTTGAAACTTGAAATCAATTACAGGAAGAAGTCTGGAAAACCGCCAAAAACATGGAGGTTAAAGAACACCCTTCTAAAGAATGAATGGGCCAATCAGGCAATTAGAGAGGAAATTAAAAAATATATGGAAACAAATGAAAATGAAAACACAACAATTCAAAATCTATGGGATGCGGCCAAGGCAGTCCTAAGAGGAAAGTACATTGCTCTCCAGGCCTATTTCAAGAGATTAGAAAAAGCACAAGTCCAAAATCTAACAGCTCACCTAAAGGAGCTAGAGGCAGAGCAACAAGAACGCCCTAAACCCAGTAGAAGAAGAGAAATAGTAAAAATTAGAGCAGAAATAAACAACATAGAGACCAAAGAAACAATTGAACAGATCAATGAAACCAAGAGTTGGTTTTTTGAAAAAGTAAACAAAATTGACAAACCTCTAGCCAGGCTTATCAAAAAGAAAAGAGAGAGCACCCAAATAGACAAAATTATGAATGAAAATGGACTTATTACAACCAACCCCTCAGAAATACAAGCAATTATCAGGGAATACTATGAAAAATTATATGCCAACAAATTGGACAACTTAGAAGAAATGGACAAATTCCTAAACACACACTCACTACCAAAATTCACACGGGAAGAAATAGAAAACCTGAACAGACCCATAACGAGTGAAGAAATCGAATCAGTGATCAAAAATCTCCCAACAAATAAGAGCCCTGGACCTGATGGTTTCCCTGGGGAATTCTACCAGACATTTAAAACAGAATTAATCCCAATTCTTCTCAAGCTATTCCAAAAAATAGAAGTCGAAGGAAAACTCCCGGACTCATTTTATGAAGCCAGCATCACTCTGATTCCCAAGCCAGACAGAGATCCAACAAAAAAAGAGAACTATAGGCCAATATCCTTGATGAATACGGATGCAAAAATTCTCAACAAGATCCTTGCAAATCGAATCCAGCAGCATATCAAAAGAATCATCCACCAAGATCAAGTGGGATTCATTCCTGGGTTACAGGGCTGGTTCAACATTCGCAAATCAATCAATGTGATCCATCATATCAATAAAAGAAAAGATAAAAACCATATGATCCTGTCAATAGATGCAGAAAAAGCATTTGACAAAATACAGCATCCCTTCTTAATAAAGACTCTCGAGAAAGTTGGGATAGAAGGAACCTACTTAAACATCATCAAAGCCATCTATGAGAAGCCTTCAGCTAACATCATCCTCAACGGGGAAAAACTGAGAGCTTTCCCCCTGAGATCAGGAACACGACAGGGATGTCCACTCTCACCACTGTTGTTTAACATAGTGCTGGAAGTCCTAGCATCAGCCATCAGACAACAAAAGGAAATCAAAGGCATCAGAATTGGCAAAGAGGAAGTCAAACTTTCACTCTTCGCAGATGACATGATACTCTACATAGAAAACCCGACAGACTCCACCAGAAGCCTACTAGAACTGATCCAAGAATTCAGCCAAGTTGCAGGGTACAAAATCAACGTACAGAAATCGGTTGCATTTTTATACACCAATAATGAAGCAACAGAAAGAGAAATCAAGAAACTGATCCCATTCACAATTGCACAAAAAACCATAAAATACCTCGGAATAAACCTAACCAAGGATACAAGAGATCTGTATGATGAAAACTATAGAAAACTTATGAAGGAAATTGAAGAAGACACAAAGAAATGGAAAAACATTCCATGCTCATGGATAGGAAGAATAAATATAGTTAAGATGTCATTACTACCTAAAGCACTCTACACATTCAATGCAATTCCAATCAAAATTGCACCAGCATACTTCTCAAAACTAGAACAAACTATCCAAAAATTTGTATGGAACCACAAAAGACCCCGAATAGCCAAAGTAATACTGAAAAATAAAACCAAAACGGGAGGTATCACCATCCCAGACTTCAGCCTCTACTACAAAGCTGTCATCCTCAAGACAGTATGGTATTGGCACAAAAACAGACACATAGACCAATGGAACAGAATTGAGAACTCAGAAGTGGACCCAAAAGTATACAGCCAACTGATCTTTGACAAAGCAGGAAAGAATATCCAATGGAAAAAAGACAGCCTTTTTAACAGATGGTGTTGGGAGAACTGGACAGCAACATGCAGAAGAATGAAACTAGATCATTTTCTCACACCATGCACAAAAATCAACTCAAAATGGATAAAGGACCTGAACGTGAGACAGGAAACTATCAACACCCTAGAGGAGAAAGCAGGAAACAACCTCCTTGACCTCCACCGCAGCAACTTCTTACTTGACACATCCCCAAAAGCAAGGGAATCAAGAGCAAAAATAAACTGTTGGGACCTCATCAAGATTAAAAGCTTCTGCACAGCCAAGGAAACAACCCAGAAAATTAATAGGCAACCAACGGAATGGGAAAAGATAGTTGCAAATGACATATCAGATAAAGGGTTAATATCCAGAATCTATAAGGAACTCACCAAACTACACGCCCGAAAAACAAACAACCCAGTGAAGAAATGGGCAGAAGACATGAACAGACACTTCTCCAAAGAGGACATCCAGATGGCCAACAGACACATGAAACGATGCTCAGCATCCCTCCTCATCAGGGAAATACAAATCAAAACCACACTGAGATACCACCTCACGCCAGTCAGAGTGGCTAAAATGAGCAAATCAGAGAACTCTAGATGCTGGCGAGGATGTGGAGAAACGGGCACCCTCCTACACTGTTGGTGGGAATGTAAACTGGTACAGCCCCTCTGGAAAACAGTGTGGAGGTTCCTCAGGAAACTAACAATAGAACTCCCCTATGACCCAGCAATAGCACTGCTAGGAATTTACCCAAGGGATACAGAAATGCTGAGGCATAGGAGCACATGTACCCCAATGTTCATAGCAGCACTCTCCACAATAGCTAAAACATGGAAAGAGCCTAAGTGTCCATCAACAGATGAATGGATCAAGAAGATGTGGTTTATCTATACCATGGAATACTACATGGCAATGAGAAACAATGAAATCTGGCCATGTGTAGCAACATGGATGGACCTTGAGGGTGTTATGCTGAGCGAAATAAGTCAGGCAGAGAAGGACAAATATCATATGTTTGCACGTATAGGAGGATTAGGAGGAACTTGACGGAGGAACAAGGGGGAGAAGAAGGGCGGAAATGGTGGGGGAAAGGGAGAGAGGCAAACCATGAGAGACTCTTGAATGCTGACAAAAACTGAGGATTGATGGATGTGGGGGGGAGGGGGGGAGATGGGCATGGAGGGGGTCACTTGTGGCGATGAGCACTGGGTGTTATATGGAAACCAACTTGACAATAAACTATTTGTAAAAAAAAAAAAAATGGGGAAGGACTAAAAAAAAATAGATGTGAAAGTCTAGGTTTAGAAACTATTGAAATTAGAATTTCTTCACCTACTGTTTCAGTCCAGCTCTTAAGTCCTCAAGGGAAGCTGTGATCCAGAAGGCCCCACAGAGTTCCGTTTACATAATTTGCTTATTTACATAGTCTTCTTTCTAATTCTCTTTTGAAAACTATTCTGATGTTGATTTTCCCTAATAGGAGCCCTCTGAAATCAGAGCCTTCGGATGAAAGTGACACTAACAAAAAGCCCAAACAAGCAAGCAGAAAGAAGAAGAAAGAGAAAAAGAAGAAAAGGAAGCATCACCACAAGAAAACCAAGAGAAAACACGGGCTGTCCAGTAGCAGTGGGTCTGAGCCTGATAGTGATTCCGAAAAGGACAAAACTCGCAGAAGCCTTGGAGACAGTAGAAAGGAATCCGAGAAACCAAAGTAGGTTTTGTTACCAAACACCTGTGACTTTTCAGATTTTGAATTTTTCCTCTCAGTTGTTGCCACAAATGAGACATTCGAATGACCAGTTAGCCACTTAGTCAGATGGAGTCCGAAAAACCCCACGAAAACTCTACCATTAGGTCAGCATTTAAAAGAAAAGTTTCATTAAAAAACTTAGGGCCATGATATTATTTGAGAAAAGTTACAGAGACCCAGTAAAGGTTGTGTCAGAATCTGATTCAGGCAAGAGGTCTGCGCACACACGCTCCGTGGTTACGGTTAAGGTAGCGCTGAGTCGCCGCTTTGGCCCTTTTGTCCCCATTTATTTAGAACCGCTGTGGGAGGTGTGGGCTCGCTTGTGACCGCAGGGCTTTCCTCCTCCCCACATTTTGCTCCACTGTCGTGGCTCACGTTGTCCTCCAGAGCGGCTTCTGCACAGGCGCTCACGCCTCCTCTCTGCCTCGTTTCCTGGCCTCCCACCCAGGGAGCCACTTCTCCCATGCCTGCGACAGGTGGCCTGTGGTGAAACTACCTGCGTGGTTTCCATTTCACTTTTTTGTTTTCTTTCCTCCTGTGGGCTAGAAGAGACAAAATTTCAGTTCTTGTCTAAGACAGACTTAAAAAAATGGAGCGCTCCTAAGAATTTTTGACTCTTAGGGATTATTTGCTTATGCCGTGTGCTTAGAAGTCCCACTGGTGTCAGTGAGAGCTCTGTCATTAAGTCTGGAATCTGGCCCACGGAGTTGCCATCAGACAAACAGATGCTGCCGTCTTCCTGGGCCCTTCTGCCGTCAGATGGGGGGAGAACATTGCAGGGCTCTGTGGCTCAGAAGATGCAGGTTGATTTAGCCTTCTCTCTGTGTCACAGGGGCTACACGTGTAACCCAGCTTTGCTCTAGGAGGGGAAAGAAGGGAGTCAAATAGATTGTGAATTTGACTGAATTTATGTGGGCAGGAGACCCTCCCGTCTTGCTTGCCGTTGTCTTCTCAGCACATGGCACAGGGCCTGGTAGCAGTAAGCGCTCAGTACGTGAATGAGTGAATTATTGATATTTTTGCTTTCAGTATGTCTTCAAAGCAAAATACATTTATCGTCCTCTGTTCTGAAAACTCACTGTTAGCTACTTGTCCTTTCTTCCCCTACGGTCGAGGATGAATTTTAAAGGATTTCCTGAACCCACACAGGAACTGCCATTAGAGCTTGAAAGGTAGTTATTTTCAGCCTGTGCTTAATCACATCAGAGGCGATGTTTACAGCCCCTTGATAGTTTTGTGATCCAAATGACACTTTTAAGTTCACTGATACTTAAAAAAAGTTTTTTTTAATGTTTATTTTTGAAAGAGAGAGAGACACGGAGTGTGAGTGGGGAAGGGCAGAGAGAGAGGGAGACACAGAACATGGGCCTCTAACCCACGAACCGTGAGATCATGACCTGTGCTAAAGTCAGACCCTTCACCAACTGAGCCACCCAGACGCTCCCTAAGTTCATTGATATTTTGCAGACTATCCCCATTAAGATCAAAATAGACTGTTCTTGTTATTTCCTCCTATGTTATTTTCTCTCTGTGAACTTCTGTAGTCTCTCCCTGGGGAGATGGCTTGGAGGAATTGTTTCTATAGAGACAAGGAAGAAGATGCTGATGAGTTGTGAGAGTATTTCTGGGACGTCTGGAAGGTGGGCTCACAGGGGTATGGTATACTGCACGGACTCGAATTTAGGGTGATCAGGGGACCACTTCCCCTAAGGCTGCGGTTCCGCATGGACCTCTGTTTCCTGCGGTGAGCTCTTCGTCATCGTCAGGTGGAGGCGGATCCTTCCCTGCACACAGCCCAGACCTCGTCCTGCTTCCTCACCTCACTACCCAGTAGGGGATGGATCAGAGCCTGTCTCCTCCCCGGGAGTGGTCTGCACCCCCCACCCCTTTGGGCTTTCTGTTTCTTTCTGGAATGCATCCATCTCATTCCTTCCCTTTGCTGCCCCTTTCAGTGTTTGTCAACAGAAAACCCTCCACAGGTGTTCCAAAGGCGAATGTGTTAGAAATCACCGTGTTGCTGTCATTCAGCAAATACTTATTGAAAGCTACTTTGTGTCCCTGAAATGCCATTCCTTTGTATTCCCAGCCAAGAATGATTTAGAAGCCTTTAGAATCGTTGTTTCTATCTGGGCAGAGCCAAACAGCAAAGAGAGAAAGGTCAATGCTCCTGTGACTCTACCCTGGCAGCATTATGCACTGATCCTTAGAGGGGGGAGGATGTGAGAGGCCAGGAAACCTTTCCCTCGCTCTCACTGGACTCCTAGGGAAGGGATTCCACGTGCATCTAAGCGGGAAGTCGGCCAGCTCCCAAGTCGGTTCCAGGGGATACATACAGTGGACTCTCTCTGCCCGTTTGTAGGGGGAGGTCAGCACACAGGGGCGAGGCACCGTCCACAGAGCCCAGGCTGTCCAAACAAGACCTGGACCGAGCCTCAGTGATGTCCGAGACTGACCCATTCAGAGGGGTAGCTTTGCTGTGGTTGCTGGTTCAGGCTGGAATAACCCAAGCGCTTTCTGATGAGTTAGGCTAAGCAAGGGCAGTCCCCTTTCTTACTAAGTATATTTGAAATTCTAGTTACTGACATCTAGTGGAATATTGAAAAAGAACAGCTGTATTAGGTTAACTTCTGAGGCACGGTGACTTGGTAAAATGCCACTTAGCGTTGACAGTTTTTGCTTTATATTTTAAGGCTTTTTCCATCTTTGTGGCATGTGCACATTTTATGCACTTAACTGCGTTTGATGTGGTGGGGAGTTTGAAATGTGTAACTCTTGTATTTCTGAAAAGGTGGACCGTGTAACTCGATCTCCCTTTTTATGCTTCACCTTCCCCTCTCCCCACAGTCGAGAAGGGGCTGCCGCCGCTGACACTGGGCACCGCTTTGTCTGGCTTGAGGATGTTCAGGCCCTCACAGGGGAAACCTTCAGAACAGATAAGAAACCAGATCCTGCAAACTGGGAGTATAAGTCTCTCTACCGAGGAGACATAGCAAGGTATCCGTCATGGTGTTATCTCCCCCCCCCCCCCCCCCCCGTCCCCTAGCCCTCTCTGCACCATCTCTGCCCCCATCCCTTCTAGATTCTGGTGGGTGCCCCCCGTTGCCGACATCCTGACATATGTGTCTTATCTCACATTCTGAAATGAAAGCTTAAACTGTGAGGTCAGGATCCAGGTCTCCTTTGTAATAGGTTTTTAGTAAACATTTGTTGAATGAATGACTCTAAAAATACCTTGAAGTAAGTAATTGTGACAAACTATCCAGAAACCATTTGGTCTGATCTGTGTGCCATTTTTTAAAAAATGTCTTTATTTTTGAGAGAGAGAGGGAGACAGAATGTGAAGTAGGCTCCAGGCTCTGAGGTGTCAGCACAGAGCCTGTTGCGGGGCTCAAACTCACAAACTGTGAGATTATGACCTGATCCAAAGTCGGACGCTTCACCGACTGAGCTACCCAGGCACCCCTGATCTATATGCCATTTAAAAAAGTTATGAGGGGTGCCTGGGTGGCTCAGTCAGTGAAGTGTCTGACTTTGACTCAGGTCATGATTTCACAGTTTGTGGGTTTGTGCCCTGTGTTGGGCTCTGTGCTAACAGCTAGCTCAGAGCCTGGATCCTGCTTCAGATTCTGTGTCTCCCTCTCTCTCTGACCCTCCCTGCTCATGCTGTCTCTCTCTCTCTCTCAGAAATAATAAAATTAAAAACTAAAAAAATTGAAAAAATAAAACTACCACCCTCTTAAAAAAGTTATGAAAGCCTTTTATTTATCAATCCCCCAAGTAAACCATTAAAATAAATGACATTAAATGGTAATGACGTTTTCAAAATGTTTCCAGCGTACATCACCAGATAAAAAATAGGTGATGGCATTTGCTTCAGTAATTAGTTCATTAAACTTTTCTCCTCTAACCTGTCAATCAAAAATATGTAAATCTTAAATCCCTTAGATGCTTAGTCATTGCAGGACACTGTTGGGACACAGAGAACAGCAACACACAATCTCTGTTCCCAAACAGCTTACAGGTAATGAAAATTGAAGGTAGAGAATATTGAAATATAAAGCCACGAGGAGACCATTATTGTTCTTTATAGGCTGATGACTTTTTAAGCTAAATGTCACTTTCCAGTGACACCTTGCTGCACCTCCAAATTTTCATGGTTGTCAATTGTCATGACATTATTCCTCACCACATAAGTGATTCCCACGAAGATTTCCTTTACGATGTGTTTATGTCCATAATATTTTAGTGTATATTTATAGCTACATACCGTCACGGCTGAGAGACATGACTTTCAAATGTATTCGTGTGTCTTTGAATTGTTTTCATACTCCTCAAAGCCTTGTTAGGTTTTCCACACCACAGACGTGGTAGGAGCCCGCCAAAGATGCGGAGGCCCGGGCACACCGGCCCAGCCTGCGTTCCTTCACGCCCGGGTAGCCTGTCTGAGCCCCCAGCTGCTGTGTGAGGGGGGCCGCCCACTTTTACGAACGAGGAAAGGCACCTCAGACAGGTTAACGCAGCCTCTCGCGGGCTGCCAGGAAGCAGCTTTTTTGGGAACCCGTGTTCCTCGAACCAGTAATGTTCTTTTACTGTCCCGGTTAGAGATGAGCCTGGTGGCCTGGGAGGGCGTGTTCTGGGTTGGGAAATGGACTTTGCCACCTACTAATAATGGAATCCCAGGTGAATGAGTCACTTACCCCGTCTGAGCCTCTGTTTCTTCATTTGTTAACTCCTGCTGCATCTTGCACGCAGATACCAGAAGTAATGGCTATGAATTAGAAGTTGATTTGCAAAGACAGAGAGTCATTATTTATTAATAGTTGGAAAGGGAAAAAATAGTCACAGTGAGTAGCTCTTAAACCTGTGCTGATGAACGGCCCAGACCTTAGGAAGAGAGTAATGAGACCAGTTTACTCATCTGAATTGCAAAGATACTACGGGAAGGGCTTGGGCATGGCTGTGATTTTCCAGGAAATTGCTAAGGCTTAGGGGAGGTAAGTCTTGCCCGGATTAATACAGCTGTTAGCGTCCAGATGAGGAAGGTATTGATCCCATGGCATTGTGAGTCGGTCAGAGGACAGGGGCAGTGTTGTGTCGGGTAGTGAATTTTCACATGTAGAGGCAGTGACATCCCAGGAGCACTGCGGGGGACTTGGCCAGCACTGTCCCTTGAGGGCCAGATGAGGGCTTGTGGGCATTTGGCCTGTGACAGCAGCATGTTCACTGCCTTTTAAGCTTTGCTGGACCGTCTCTGGAAGGTGGATTGGCAGCGTTCTGTGTAACTTGGGAAGGCGGAGCCAGGACCGATGAGTGGAAGTTCCAGAAAGTCATGTTGGGCTCAGTATCAAAGCAAATTTTCTAATCGTGTGAGCATCCCAGCAGGGACCTGGTGTGTGTGAGAGTATTGTAGTGAACAGGGCTTAGGGTTCGTGTGTAAGAGTCAGAATTACCTTCGGAAAACACCTTCAGGCTAGCATCCCGGGTGCCATGAAGTTCGGCTCCGTTTTACCTCCATTTTTGGAATGGATTGTTTCTTTGGCTGTACACCAGCTGAAATAGTTGGCTTATGTTTAAGAGCTAAGTCTTATAAAATAATAACAACTTAAACTTATCTAGTCTTTATTACATGGCTAAGGCTTCAAATATAGAAACTTTTTGATCATCCCTGCTTTTCTGTGACATGGGTACCATTATTTGCCCATTTCACAGATGAGGAAATGGAGGCACAGACAGGTTTTTGTTTTTTGTTTTAAATAGCTTGGTCAGGGTCACCTCGTTAGGAAGCGATGGAGTTGGAATTTGGACCCAGGTAGACTCCCACCAGGTAGACTTGGCCATTTCCTAATCATGGAATCCCGGGTGAATCACTTATTGTGTCTGTGGGATATTGTGAATTGAAGTCACTGAAGAAAAGCAAATTTTTTCTTGCCCAGTTCACTCTGGGACTCCAAGACACTCTGGATTCAGGGCAGAATTATATGCTTGACTTAAATATATTCTTTTCCCATATCCTATCCCTTTTTCTTTTCTTTCTTCCCTTCCCTTCTCCTTTTGGCTGAATTCATTTAAATTAAATGTCCATTGATATCCTTCACTGAACCTCCAATAATTCCTTCTGGAATTATTCAGGTAAGACCAGCTGACTATTTGTTAAGGATTTTACAGGAAACATGCCTTCATTTGGAGGAATATTGCATCAGGTTACATCCTAGGTTTTGCCCAATTAAGATTCTATGACAAGTGATAAATTAGATAAAACCCAGATATCTAACAATAGAGGTGTGTTAACTTAAATGAGGGCTTACCCCTCCAGTGAGCCACTTTAAAGCTTTACAGTAAAAATGATATTATCTAAAACTAATGGTGTGGGAAAGTGCTTAAAGTAGGGAGGAAAGCCTGAAGCCGTATATCAACTGTTTTTAACGTTTACTTATTTTTGAGATACAGAACAGGAGTGGGGAAGGGGCAGAGAGAGAGGAGGAGACACAGAATCTGAAGCAGGCTCCAGGCTCTGAGCTGTCAGCACAGAGCCCGATGTAGGGCTTGAACTCATGAACCTTGAGATCGTGACCTGACCTGAAGTCAGACGCTTAACTGACTGAGCCACCCAGGCGCCCCTATATCAAACTATTTTTAAAACGATTTTCACATATCTGAAAGTAGGCACTTGATACAGATCGGTAAGATTCTTTTTTTCTTCTTTTGTCATTTTCATCTGTTAGAAAATGCAGCTCTGAAAAACAGTTTTACAAGCGCACATTTAAAGTCAGAAAACGCTGTAAACAGTTTTTAAGAGACTGTGAATGTCATAATACTATTCATTTTTAGTGAAAACAAAGTCATCATGAAGGGGAGAACGAAACTAGGTCTACTTACTTACAGTTTGTTCCTTAAAGAACGAGGGACGTGTTTAGAGCTTCCATAGCGCTATTTTATCTCCTCGCCCCTTGTTAAAGTTGTTTTGATTCCTGTTTGGGCTGGGCTAGGGAGAGACTGGTGAGGTAACCTAGGAGGAACCAGGGGAGATGATAAAGAGAACGAGAGAGAGAGAGAGAGAGAGAGAGAGAGAGAGTGTGTGTGTGTGTGTGTGTGTGTGTGTGTGTGAGAAAGAGCAGTGAGGGATGCTTCTCAGGCACCTGTTGACTGTGGGGAGGCAAAGTTGCCGCTGAGCCTGGACCAGGAGGCAGTGAAGACAGCTTTCTGGAAGAGGATGGTAGATGGCAGCAGCTCTCTCCTGCCTCTCATGCTGCTCCCACAGCATTATATTATGAAAAATTAAAAAAAAAATACAGCCCACGTTGAAAGAATTTTACAGTGAATGCTCATGTTCCCACCCTCTACGTTCTGCCATTAACATTGTATTGCACTTGCCTGATCACATATTTATCTGTTCATCCGTCCTCCAGCCCACCTTATTTATTTGATGCCCGCATCAGTATGCCACCCCATCAGTACTTCAGCATGCATGTCATTAACTAGCATTCAACATTTGTTTGGTTAATTTTGACTTAAAATTTGCATACAGTATAACCCACAGATCTACACGATACACCTGTATAATCCAGCCCCCCCTGAAAATAGAGACCATTCATGGGACCCCAGAACATCTCCTAGTGCTCTCTTCCATTCAGTCCACACCCCACCTCCCCGGTGGCAGCTGCTCTTCTAACTTTTTCCCCATCATTAACTAGTGTTGCCTATTCTGGAATTCCTTATACATGAAATCACGTAATACGTGCCCTTTTGGGTCTGGCTGCTTTCACTCTGTGTGATGTTTTGGAGATTCAGCTACAGTGTACCATTTATCGGTACTTTGATGCTTTTCACTGCTGGTCGTGTTCTGTTGTGTGGCCATACCATTGTTTATCTGTTCTTCCATTGCTGAGCGTCTGGACTCTGCAGTAGTTGGCTGTTATGAATAGAGCTACTGAGAATATTTGAACACAAGTCTTGGTGTAGAAATGCAGTTTCCTTTTTCTTGGGTGAGTACCTAAAATAGAATCGCTGGGTCACAGTTGGTAAGTCTAAGTTTAGTTTACAGACCTTTCCCCGAAGTGATTGTACCAACTCACGTTCCCACTAACGGCGTATGAGAGTCCTGGTTACTTGATGGATCACTCACCAGTGCTTGGCATGATCAGTGTCTAATTTTAGCTGTTCTGGCGGGTACGTGGTGTGTCTCATTGTAGTTTTAATTTGGGTTTCCGTCATGACTAACAATGTTGAGCACTTTACACGTGCTTATTGGCCATTCATGTATCTTTGGTGAATTCCGTCCAGATCTTTTGCCCATTTTTAAATTGGCTGTTTATATAACATGCATACAGAAAAGTGCACGATTTCCTTCAGCTTTTGTGCAGATACTTGGTAGTCCTGTGTCTGTAATTCTGGGGACACCTGCATGTCCCATAAAAGCATTTTAGAACCCAGCCTCTTTTCCCCTAGAGTAGAAAATAGCCTAGTGTAATTTTATCCAACATACATTGGATCTGTTTCAGGAGTAAAAATACAATGTCAGCCCTCTCCATTTTCTTAGGTGTGGAAGCAAGACTATACTGAGGAAAAGGGACAGGTCTAGGAGACAGATGCCACATTGTCCCCCTGTGTCAGGGTCCATGGGAATGGTGTAACGGGATGAGGACTTCCGCCTTGCCTGGTCGTGTATGATTGTGATGATCAGTGACGTAGTGTGTGGGACAGGACTTTACAAAGCTCCAGGAAGATAGAAATGACTAGAACCTGGAAGACAGGCATGATCTTAAATTCATGAGATGTTAACAAAGAATTGAAGCGTTTAGTAGGAGTAGGTCGAGCACAGAAAAAGTGAATTGCTAATCCTCATATGTCTCCAAATAGAAACAATTTGAAGGTGAGGTGAATCTGAATGCGTGCAGTTAACTTGCATAACAAGAGCTCAGGTCTGCTGCGCTGAGCCTGTGCAGAGACAGTGCACGTGTGCCCTTGGTGACTTCTTTTCTTTCTCAAATATAAGATACAAGAGGAAAGGAGACTCCTGCCTCGGCATTAACCCTAAGAAGCAGTGTATATCCTGGGAGGGGCCCACCGCAGAAAAGAAGCATTCACGCAAACGCGTTGAGCGCTATTTTACGAAGAAGAGTGTGGAACTAATGAATGTTGACGGAGTCGCCGTTGGCAGTAAACCCGAATCTCCCTCATCTGAGCCAGTTTCATTTATCCCAGTGAAGGTCGCCGATGATGGGGCTGCTCCTGTCAAGACCTGGTTGAACCCTCTGGGGATTTACGATCAGCCCACCATGCAGTGGTTACAAGGGCAGGGTCCTCCAGAGCAAGAATCAAAGCAGCCAGACCTGCAGACAGACAGAGAGAGTGCCCTGCTCAAGGCCAAGGTGGAGGAGTTTAACCGGAGAGTTCGGGAGACTCCCCATGATATTCAGCTGTGGATGGCATTCGTTGCTTTTCAGGTAAGTGTCGCCCCCCCCAGTGCGCTTATTGGAGTGACTGTCCCAGCTTGGGGAAAGTGGATTGCTCTGCTGTGGTTTTCGAGACCCTGAGAGGAATCCTGGCACGGGGCATTCGAGAATGGTTAGGCTGGAGCCCTTGCCCTGAGCTTGCGCAAAGCCCCCCCAGGAAGACCGAATAAATGCAGCGTGGGGTAGTGCGTGCTTTCATGTGTAATTGGGGTTGGGATGAGGGACCGACCTGCCACTAGGGAGTGAGCAAGGGCTTCCAGAAGAAGGTGAAGTCTGAACCGAGTCTGGAAAGAAGAGTCGATGTTCACCAGGCCGGGAGAGGTACTTGTGAGGCACAGACGGTGTGCAAAACACAGAAACGGGGGGGAGAGAAGGTGGTGCTGACCCCACTCCCTGGTCCCCGTGCCGCTCCCGTCTCCAAGTACGTGGCTTTGTTTTCATCCTACATCTCCGTTTTTGAACCACGTATACAATTATCTTATTTTGCCCCACATTTCGCTGTTTTATTGGTAAAGTCGGCTCTTGGGAAGCAGTTTCTGAGATGCTGCATGCTAGCTACTGGTACATGATCAAAGTTTGAAATCCTGGAGCATAGATGGTAAATCAGGTGAGATAAACGCAAGATCAAACATATCAGGTGACCCAGGCGCCCTAGTAACAGAGTTTTCAGTAAAAAAAAAAAAAAAAAAAATTGTGGTAAATGCTTATCAAGAAAGCCGGTGACGACTGAATTTGAGCAGTGATGGGCGGTGCGGCCGGGCAGGGCTGTAAGTGTCTCTGTCCCGGTGGTGAGCTTTTCGTAACTTGATGTCTTTTGCCTGGAGGACGAGGTGATGAAGAGCCCTGGCCTGTACGCCATTGGGGAAGGAGAGCAGGACCGACAGAATCGGTCTCTGAGGCTGGTGCTGGAGAAGAAGCTGGCCGTCCTGGAGCGCGCCATCGACAGCAACCAGAGCAGCGTGGAGCTGAAGCTCGCCAAGCTGGCGCTCTGCTCCGAGTTCTGGGAGCCCTCCGCTCTGGCCAGAGAGTGGCAGAAGCTCATCTTCCTGCACCCCAACAACACAGCCCTTTGGCAGAAATACCTTTTATTTTGCCAGAGCCAGTTTAGCACCTTTACGGTCTCCAAAATTCACAGTCTTTACGGAAAATGCCTGAGCACCCTGTCCGCTGTGAACGACGGCAGCATCTTGTCACACCCTGCCTTGCCGGGCACCGAGGAGGCCATGTTTGGTAAGAAGCTGGGGACCAGGTCCACTTATTTCGGGGGAGTTCCCCTTTCTTTTGGCTTTTGTCAGAAATGAAGATTTAGTTTTGGTTTATTTTAGACATGTCGAAATGGATAAAACTGATTTAAACAAAAAGTATTAGGACTCCTTGTGATTATAACCAATTCCCCCCTTTCCATCTTCTTGGTGGGGGTGGGGGTGGGCATTAGAGCCAATAAAGTTAGAGAAGTATCATGGGTCTGGAAGTTCCAGCCTTTCTGCTTATTAACCGAGGAAACCTGGTAAAGTCTGGAATGTTCTGGCTGTCAGTGGCCTTTGTGGAGGTGCTTCTCTGGCCATCCTCCCCCGTTCTAGGATCTCAGGCTGTGGTGTTCAGGGGGAAGCCTGGCTGACTGGAGGTTGTTGCATAGATACAGTTGTTCTTTTTTTTTTTAATCTTTTTTATTTTTGAGAGGGGGAGGGGGGCAGAGAGAGTGGGAGACACAGAATCTAAAGCAGGCTCCAGGCTCTAAGCTGTCAGCCCAACACGGGGCTTGAACCGACAAACTGCGAGGTCATGACCTGAGCCAAAGTCGGATGCTTAACCAGCTGAGCCACCCAGGCGCCCCTGCATAGATGCCGTTCTTATGTGATTTTACTGTTAACATTTCTGGTGTGTCCTGAAGGAGCCCAGAAGATAAACTGCGTCCAGTAGCTAGCTGCAGAAGGCAGCACGGTAACCAGGAGCTGGAGAATATCACTCTTGACCTGAATCCTAGGTTTGCTCTTCCCTGGTAACCTTGCCAGTTCCTGAACCTGGCTGAGCTCCAGTGTCCCCCTCAGTGACAGTGGTATGGTACGTGCTTTGTAGGGTTATTGAGCACGTTACCTGAGGTGACATACAGTGAGCCTGGCTCGGTGTCTGGTACACAGCAGGTATTTATTTGATCAAAACCTTGCTATTTCTGTTACCTTCTAAAGATAGAAATACATTGCTCTAGAAATAACAAGCATTTGCCACACTGACAGAGTCTCATGTTTCATACCGTTCACAGTACGCTCAAATAGCTGAGTGTTATTTAGTGAATGGAATTGTACCACAGTTGAGAGAAACCAGCATTTTTGAAGACGGAGCCCTGATTTGTTTGCAGCTGGCTCTGCAGATGTGACGGAAGCTGATGACGGTGAACGCTGTCTAGCTAACGACACAGACCTTTGCTTTCTGACAAAAATCTACCCCATTCTTTTCTGAGAATTTTTCTTGTAATAATGAGCTTTGAACATTTGATTAACTGTTCAGACCAACCTTTTGGCTTATTTTTATGTAACATACATTGTTTTTGTTCATATTTGTATTCTGTGTTGTTTTCATATAAGAGTTGGAATAAATGTACATCATTTGATTACAGTACCATTGTGAGACCTTTTAACAAGGACATGTATTATTACAGCTTTGGAATTACCACAGTAACTAAATTTGGAGAAAAGATGTTCTCGGTGTTAAAATACACATTTTTATTTATTTTTATTTTAAATTTATTTTGAGAAAGTGCGAGTGAGTGCACACAAGGAAGGTAGGGGGGAACTGAAGACAGAGAGAGAGAGAAGAGAGAATATCTCAAGCATGCTCCATACTGAGCACAGAGCCTAACCTGGGGCTCGATCCCATGATCCCAGGATCATGACATGAGCCAAAGTCGAGAGTCGGACACTCAGCCGACTGAGCCAGCCAGGCGCCCCGGTATGCATGCTTTAGAAGCTGGGTTCTTTCCTTTTGATGGCGTTAACCAGAACTCTCCCTTCTCTCCCCGTTTCCAGCTCTCTTCCTTCAGCATTGCCACTTCCTGCGGCAGGCCGGTCACTCGGAGAAGGCGGTCTCCCTGTTCCAGGCCATGGTCGACTTCACCTTCTTCAAACCCGACAGTGTGAAAGACCTGCCCACCAAAGGACAGGTGGGGGTTCTGGTTGCGTGACACACCTGCCTCTCTCCTCCTCTCCCTTTCTCTCCTTCTTTCTTCTGGGGGCATGTGTGGATCGTGGGAGGTGGTGCTAGTATTTTTCAAATACCCTGTCCTCCTTTATATCAGCCTTGCTGAGCACTGTTGCTCAGAATATTGTGGTGATCCAAGGAGAATTGTATAACGAAGGGAGTGAAACAGGGAGAAGCATTCCCCCCACCCCATATATAGGCTCACCACGTCCCCCCTTCCTCTTGCTTATGAGCTTTGTATCAGTGCTCATTGCCCTCACCACGCAGAGAAACAATTGTTGTTCCTCTTACATCACATCTTACTCTTGTCCTAACCTTCATGCATCTGAAGTTGGATCTTACGTCATTTCTGCAGTTAACATCTCCACCACCTAAGATCTTTGCAGGATTGCAAACACTGTTACATGGTGGTGGTGGTGGTTTGTCAACCCTTGTCCTGATTGGGGACGTGCTGATGATTTAGGTGACACATGAACATTGCCCATATTTGTGATGTTGAAGCAATAAAAAAATCCTACCAAAGAGCCATATGAGAAAGCTTTCCTTGGAAGAAATCTAAGTCTCCTGCTTTGCAAAGGGGCTCTGGTATAAGATGGATAGGACAGCTGCATTTATGGTGAACTCACGGAGGTCCTGAGAGGCTGAGGTCTCCATCTTGTGGAATGTCCATGAATTGCATTTAAAGACCATTTCTATTATCATTATTTTTATATGTTTTTTCCTAGGCAAAATTGGGTTAAATATTGGTTAATCTTAGTATAACTGATTAGTAGTCCAATAAGCCAGATAAAAAAATTATTTTAAGACGTGCTTTGCTATTTTAGGAGTATGCTGTGTTACAGAAGGGATTCTTAGCTGACTGCGGGGCCCTGGATGTGTGCTCGCCGGGGCAGGATCAGAGGGGCCCTCATCCCTGCCCGTTGCTGACACTCACTGTCAATGATGAGGACAGTTACTTGTGGGGAGCACACTGCCCCGGACTGTGAAGCGTCAGGCGCCCCTCTCCTAAAGTGTCCACAGAGCCTGCCACACACTCTCGAGACTTTAAGTATTAACAGCACATATAGTTTCAAAGCATTTGCGAGACAGCTTTGAAATAAAGCTTTTTCTTTGATGACATTCTGTGTCTTTATAACGGAGAGACGTCATTACCATGCACAGCAGAACATCAAAGAAGCGAGTCTGGTCCGTTTCTAAGGAATGAATACGTTGGTTCTAATGATCACACTTAGAAAGATACACTTCTTTTTCTTGAGTGACTTTCTTTGATCCCTCCTGGAAGAACAAGACCTGTGAAGAGTGAGTGTGGTCTCCCCAGCTCCCCTGCCCGAGGCAGCTGACGGGCACTTGGTGTGGGGACACAGCCTCTTCCCGGTGTGTGTGGCGCTCCCCCGGCTCTGGCAGATGGTCCTGCGGCTCCTGGCCCACGGCATGCTGGAGACAGCCTCGTTCTCTTCAAAATGCTTCTTCCAGAAGCTTCCATTGAGCAAGTTGTGGGTTCACTTTTGAAGTCCTTATTGTCAGTTGATAAGACAATTGCTTTCCTGTTCATGGCTATGTTCGCTTCTCTTCCACGGGGAATTACTGCCCTGAACTGGGGACCGCACACAGCAGACCCGAGTCCCCAGAAGTGTGAGTGCTGAGCTGTGATCCCAGGGCCAGGCTTTAACATGTAGACCAGTTTATTCACCAGATGCCTGCCACATGCCTCTCTGTGCCGACAAGCGTTTATTGAGTCCCTACTGTGTGTTGGGCACTGTGCCAGATTGAGGAATACGGAGTTGAGAGGTCATACCCTCAGGAGCTCCCAGGCTGTCCTGTTGCAACTTTGAATCAGTCCCCTTCCCCTCAGAATGCCTGGAAAGCAACATGATTTCAGGTGTCCTGGGGCCCAGTGACTTTATGGGAACTGCCAGTGTCACTGTCCCCAGTTAGACTGGCCTAAACGGTCAGAGTTGGAGGCCCTTCTCGATGACCATGTAACTGGTTCTCAGAAGTGGCAGCCCGTCACTTTTTGCCGTATTCTGTTCACTAGAAGTCACTGGGTCCAGCCCGCGCTCAGGGGTGTGAATGCCACAGGGCAGGGGTTAGGGCCCTTGGGGTGGGGGGCTAATTTGGAGGCTGCCTCCCACACTAGGTATTTATTTTCCTGTTTTGGGGGTGTATCATATCTACTAGAAGGACCAATGGTGAGCGAGGTTTCCTCCATAACGCCCTCTCACACCAGTCAGAACGCACGCTGCTGAGAGTTAGCAGTTTTGTACAGGTTAGGCTAACCTCCATATTTTCAACGTGGACAGGTGGAATTCTTTGAGCCCTTCTGGGACAGTGGGGAGCCCCGGGCTGGGGAGAAGGGCGCCCGAGGCTGGAGAGCGTGGATGCACCAGCAGGAGCGCGGCGGCTGGGTGGTCATCAGTCCAGGTAAGGCGCCTCTCGAGATGCATGTGCTTCTGCCTTTTTCTTCTGGACTGTGCCTTCATATCTTCATGGCTATTTGTTTATATGTGTAAGCTGTGTATTAGTCCTTAAGAACATTGAATGCCAAAATAAGTGGATGCTTTGGGAGAATAGACTGTCGCTCACCTTTAGGGTCTTTCAGTCCTCAATCCTTTGGAGGGTTTGAGTTTCTTTCCAGAGAAAGTAATTTTCATTTTTCCTTTTATAAGGTTGCTCCTGAAAAAGTAATATGGTTACTAATCCCTCCTCTCTTTGCCCCATTCAGTGTGTATTTAAGTCAGTCGTTCTGTTTTCTTGGCAATGTACGGACCAACAATTCATTTGACAAATACTTCCCTATTTAGGAATACTATAAAGTAATTAGTAACTAGCATTTATGTAACTGTCATCGTAAGTGACCCCAAAGTACTTTCTAGATTTATACTCTAAAATACTGCTGTCCAATAGAAACATAATTCAAGCCACAAAAATAATTTCACATTTTCTAGTAGCCACATTAAAAAGGTAAAATGGTGGGGCGCCTGAGTGGCTCAGTCAGTTAAGCATCCAACTCTTGGTTTCGGCTCAGGTCATGATCTCATGGTTTCTTGGGTTCAAGCCCCCCATCTGGCTCCATGCTGACAGTGCAAAAGCCTGCTTGGGATTCTCTCTCCCCCCTCTCTGTCCTTCCCCAGCTTGCTCTTTCTCTCTCTCAAAAAAATAAACATATAAAATTAAAAATAATAATAACTAAAAGGTAAAATAGTTAAATTAATCTTGATAATATATTTTGTCATTATATTATTATAGTGCTTCAGAATCCTAATATTTCAACAGGTAACTAATAATTTAAAAATTGAAATAATTTGCATTTTTTTTTCATACAAGCTCTTCGAAGTCTGGTGTGTATCTTACACTTTATAGCACATTTCAGTTCAGACTCGCCACTTCCAAGGGCCCCGTGGATTCACGTACACGACTCCTGTCGGCCGGCACAGCTCTTGGCTATTCCAGAACGGCTTCATCCCCTGGTTTTGTTGAAAGTGCAGATGAAAGGTCAGGGAAGGTCCCAGTTGCTTGGCTTAGCTACTTTGACCTTCCTTGAATGTTCTCTCCCAAAAAGAACTGGAAACCTTCTTCAGGCTCACCAGTGGTTTCCTGTGTGAGGAAAAATGACGTGCAGGGCAAAATGGATGTAGGTATTCATCCCTTCTAAGCCACTGAGTCTACAAGCCCACATGAAGGACCAGAAGTTGGAAGTCTTTCTGGTAGTAACTTTTCTTGGAGTTACCAGCTCAGCGTGGCTCTCTGGTTTTAGGTTGTTTTTTTCATTTTGTTTTGTTTTAATGAGCAAGACTCTTACAGTGCATGGAATTTATGTTCTAAGGTTTACCATGTTCTGTGAGAAGAAAGTAGAATTCTCATACAGTGTCCAGGGACCAAAGTAACATTACTTCTCTGAAAAGTGCTCAAAATCCCAATTAGTTACTCATAATCAGATGTCAGTTTGTTTTCCCAGAAAGGTAATGCAAGTGGTAAAACCTTGATTTTTGTAATGTCAAATTACGGACATCTGTTGGCACGTATATTCCCTGCACGCTTTCCAAACGCTCCGTTACAGAGAACCTTCTACTGAGTTAAGTGAATTTAATGGGAATCTGGCAGAAAGCCAGCAGGATCAGAAGAAAGGCTGACAGTTTCTTGTTTCCAGAAAAGCTAAATAATAACTCTTCTTTGTTTTTGCTTTATTTTTTAAGTTTTCTTGTCCATCTTGATGAGGTCAGCATTTAGAGTGTAGTTGGTATTTATCATTGAATTTGAGGTGTTTCTTCATAGATCACAGCTTACTGCTCCTCTCTCACTCACTTTGTTAGTCTGTATTGTTGCGTATTGATACATGTCTTTTCAAAACCATGTGATCTTTTGAATTTCTAATGTAATAAATTCAGGTTTCTAAGTCTGATGTGTGACTTACAGGTAATTTCTTTTATGATGAGAGGTTTTCAGTGGGATTAAAGGATTACCTTCAATGTAAGTCTTTAGAAGAACGTAATAAGTAGTTAAATTTTAGTTTTCTTTGATAACTCTGAAGAGTATTTAGATAGAATATTGGGTTTAAAATGCTAAGTACATGTCATGCATGTAAATTCTCTGGAGTTTTTGTTACTCATTTATTTTGAAATACTTAAAGATTCACAGGAAGGTGGAAAATACACAGGTTTTGTGCCCCCCTCACCCAGGGCCCACCAGCGGTAGCCCTGGGGGGCCACAGCCTGGAAGTAACCCTAGGGCGGTCTGCAGCAAGAAAGAGGGAGAGAGAGAGAGGGAGGGAGGGAGAGAGAGAGCTTCACCAGTTTGACGAGCTCTCATGTGCATGCGTGTTTGGTGCTGTGCAGTCTTACCACAGGCTTCCTGTAACCTTATGGCCATGCCCACCCCCACACCCACCTCGGAGGACCACTGATCTGTCCTCTACCTCTATTATTATGTTGTTCAGTTATTTTGCATGTTATATAAATGGAATCATAGGGCATGTGACTTTTTAAAACAATTTCCTTTTATAAAATATATACAAAATTTACCATTTAAAAAGATCTTTACATATATGGTTCAGTGGCACTAACTACATGTGTGCTCTTGTGCAGCCATTTCACCTCTGTCCATCTCCTCAACCTTCTCCCCTTTCCAGCTGGAGCTCTGCACCCATTAGACTGTAACTCCCCATTCCTCCCCCTACCCTCCCCCACCCTGGCCCTTGATGACCACTGTGCTACTTTCTGTCCCTGAATTTGACAATTTTAGGAGCCGCATATAAGTGGGATCACACAGGATCTGTTCTGTCGTGACTGGCTTATTTCACTAAGCATAATGTCTTCCACATTTGTCCAATGTGTAGCATGTGTTTTAGTTAATTTTAATTAAAAAATTTTAATTAGAATTTTTTAATGTTTTTCTGTTTTTGAGAGAGAGACAGAACATGAGCAGGGGAGGAGCAGAGAGAGAGGGAGAAACAGAATCCGAAGCAGGCTCCAGGCTCTGAGCTGTCAGCACAGAGCCCAATGCAGGGCTTGAACTCACAAACCATGAGATCATGACCTGAGCCGAAGTTGAACGCTCAACTGACTGGGCCCCCCAGGGGGCACCCCGCAGTACCTCCTTTGTAAGGCTGAAGGCATCCACTGTGTTAGACTGTGTTTTGTTTGTCCATTCATCTGTCCATGGACACTCGGGTTGCCTCACCTTTTGCAACTGCGAACATGGCATGCACGTGGCTGTCTGAGAACGCACTTAGAGTTCTCTGCACGTGTGCCCAGAAGTGGTGATACTGGATCATATGGTAGTTGCTAAAAATTCTCACTGCTGCTATGTTGTTCTCCAGAGCACTGCACACACCTCCCCCCCCACCTGTGCACAAGGGTTCCAGTTTGTCCACAGCCTCACCAACATTTGTCTTCTGTGTGACTTCTTAAGATTGGCCTTTTTTCCCACTTAGCATCATTCCCCTGAGATCCGTCCAAATTGTTGCACATGTCCTTAGTGTGTTTGCATTTACTGTGAGTAGTAGGTGTAGACATACCACAGTTTGCTTCCCCTACTCCTGTGGGACATTTGGAGTGTTTGCAGGGCTTGGCAGTTATGGATAAAGCTGCTGTGGGTGTTAGTGTGCACGTAGATTTTCATTTTTCCGTGATCGGCACCAGCGAGTGCAGCTGCTGGGTCTTAGAATAAGTGCATGTCTAGTTTTATAAGAAGCTGCCCACCTGTTTTCTGGGTGGCTGTACCATTTTATCTACCCTGAGTGTTTTTTTTTTTCAAATATTGAACTTTTCTCCTCTATTATTTTGCATGTTCAGAGTTAGGAAGCAAAATGAAAGTACAGGATAATCCTGAATCGACCTTTTTTTGAAAAGTGGTCACAGGTTGTAGTCATAAGGCCACTGGCTGAAAATTCTGGTGGCTTTAGAAAATCTGAACCAGTGCTGTCATTAAATATCATGTAGCATTCTGGAACTGTGTTGTCCAAGTGCAGTAGGCACTAGCCATATGTGGCCATTTTGTTTTAAGGTTATGTATTCTGAGAGAGAGCAAGCAGGAGAGGGGCAGAGAGAGAAAGTGGGGGGAGAGAGAGAACCCCAAGCAGGTTCCACACTGCTGATGGTGGAGCCCAACGCAGGCCTCAAACCCACAGACTGTGAGATCATGACCCGAACGGAAACCAAGAGCCAGACACATCCAGACATTTAACCGACTGAACCACCCAGGCACCCCCCCATGTGTGGCCCTTTTAATTAAAAATGAAATAAAATTAAAAATTTGGTTCTGGTATCAGCTACATTTCAGGTTCCCAGTAAGTCATGTGGCTGGTTGCTCACGTTAGACACAGAGATGCATATTCTGTCATCATCGCAGAACAGAAAGTTCTGTTGGGAAGTCCTGTTCTGTAATGTGCATATTCCCATTTTAATTGCTGTGATAGTGTTAAAAATCATCTGACTTCATTGGCTAATCTGCCAGGGAATCTGGGGAACTTGGTTGATGATAGGAGACTCCCTCGGTGGGTCTGAGTCCCCGAGTGTCCCCAAAGGCCGGGCCCGGTTCTTACTTGTCGTGGCATTCCAGGACCCCCCAGGGCAGCTGGCGGAGCGGAGCCATTGGGTGCTGATGGCTGGTGAGGGGAGCTAAACATTCTGTTCTTGTCTAGATGATGATGATGATGAGCCGGAAGATGAGGACCAGGAAATAAGAGATAAGTCTCTGCCCCGGTGGCAGATCTGGCTTGCCGCCGAGCGGTCCCGAGACCAGAGGCACTGGCGGCCGTGGCGCCCCGATAAGACCAAGAAGCAAACCGAGGAGGACTGTGAGGATCCGGAGAGACAGGCAGGTCCCCTGCCCCAGGAGGGAGGCCAGCCTTGGGGCCCTTGCCTTCTCCCCGTTCCTGTGGGGTTTGGTGCCTGACAGAAGCCCGCTGAGCTCGCTCTCTGAGCACTCGCCTGGCTTGGGAGATGTTAGCTTGCTCCTGTTTCTCTTTGTGGAAACTTCTCTGGCCACAGGTGAAACGGGAGCACAGACACTTGACCAGGTAGTTCCTGTCCCCCATTAAGGAGGGTAGGCTTCCCTGGAGAGTGTCTTCCGGGTCATTCAGTTAATTTTTCCCACAGAAGCCTGAGGACTTGGGGTTTTAAAACGTGGTATCGCGGTCCCAGATTCGTTGACTCTGGGGTCCTCAGAGTCTAATCAGAGCCTGGAGTGGAATAGCTTTCTGATTAATTGACGGTTCTGACGACTAGACTCCCGAGGCGTCCAGTACTGTGCTCATGCTTTGGTTTCCGCTTTGCTGAGATGCCCTGAATCCCAGGCTGGTCTCGTGGCCTCACCTTTCCAAGTTCCTGCACGAAATCGCCTGTGGATGTTCACCATTGGCGTTCTGTCTTCTCATGGCTCTTCCCGCACAGCCCACGGCTGCTGACCCTCCTTGCTGCCTTGTGACTTTTTATCTACTTTTGAGCATATTTTTCATTTCTGAAAATAATTTTGTACAAAGAAATCACCAAATAATAAAATTTATTTTCTATCTCAATTAACAGTTTTAACACGTGTTAACTTATCACAGTACTCACAGGGCGCCTGGGTGGCTCAGTCGGTTAAGTGTCTGACTTCGGCTCAGGTCATGATCTCATGGTTTGTGGGTTCAAGCCCCACATCAGGCTCTGTGCTGACAGCTCAGAGCCTGGAGCATGTCTTCGGATTCTGTGTCTCCCTCTTTCTCTGACCCACCCCTGCTCGTGCTGTCTCTTTCTCTCTCAGAAATAAGTGAAACATTAAAAAAAAAAAAAAACTTATCAGAGTAATCACAAAAGCAATTATGTGTGCTTTCAGAAGTGAGTATGATTCTAGATTGTTTATGAATCCATTAGGCTCCTTTGGAAGGTTTTGGCTTATGCCTGCCAGCAGCTCCCTCCAGCTCTCCGGAGCCTTGCGAGGCCTCTGCTTTTTTGCATCTTGCAGAAAACCTAGCTCTCGTCCATTTAAAATTTAATTTGAATAATGTTGAATCCTCAGCACATCCGTGTAAGAAGAGCTGTGGGGCAAGTCATGAAGCCCTGGTGTTTGTCATAGTAGACAAGCCGAGCCCCTGAGCAGCCCCTTCATTTTGTTCTCTTGCAGGTGCTGTTTGATGACATCGCACAGTCTATGATCCGTCTTTCCAGCCAGGATCTTCAGTTTCAGCTGGTTGCGGCCTTTCTGCAGTTCCTGGGGGTGCCTTCTGGCCTCAGCCCTCCAGCCTCCTGCCTCTCCCTGGCCATGGATGAGAACAGCATCTTCGATAATGGACTTCATGACGAAATGCCTCTGACTTTTCTCAACCTTTCCTTCTCCGGTGTCAGCTGTGTTGGCCGCTCGGACCCACTGGGCTGCCGGCGCTGGATGCGGGGTCACAATCGAGAGGGCGAGGAGTTCATCCGCAACATCTTTCACCTTGTGATGCCTTTGTTTTCAGGCCAGGAGAGGTCTGAGCTCTGCTTCTCCTGGTTACGGTATGAGATTGCGAAGGTAACTCCGGCCTCCTCCACCCCATGTGGGGGCTTCATAAATGATCACGGGGCTCTTGGTGCTCCTCGGAGCACTGGGCCACACCACCTCCTTCTTCGAGGATGCCGCAGACCCCTGGGGTGTGGCTGGAGGGCAGGAGGAAGGTGGGGTGCAGCTCCCCCGTGCCTGGGGCTGTTAGTGTTTGCGCTTCTGCTGCCAGATGTCTGGGATCGTAGGAGCAGCTGGTGTGAAGAGCCAAGCTTAAGCAGGGGTTAGAGGATTTTCGGCTTTATTAAAATAGATAAAATAAGCTATTTAAGCCTGCTCCTTAGATCTCTGCTAGAAATTTGTGTAGGATGGGCTCTTCTGCCCTCTGCTGGCCACCAGCGAGTACTGAATCTTAACACCCTTAGTTCTGACGCTGGAGCTGCAGATGGCCCCCACCCGGTTGTGTCTGGCTGATAGTGTGGTGGCCACCTCTCGCCGGAGAAGACCCTCCGGAGTGTAGGATCCTTGGTTATAGAGGTTTCGGATGGGAGCCGGATGCAGTCATTTGTGAGCGCCTGTGGCCTCTGTATGATCCTGAATTGTTTCCCAGCTCAGAGAGCCTGAGGGTTCACTGGACATGTGATAAAGGAGGGAAATGTGGGCCTCTGTGTGGCTTTCTAACCCTGACAGTACAGAGGGGTCTCTTTAAAATCACAGAGCACGTAGGAGTCCTTTTCTCTTTACGTTTAGGTCATTTGGTGTCTGCACACTAAAAACAAGAAGAGGCTAAAGTCACAAGGAAAGAACTGCAAAAAACTGGCCAAAAATCTTCTTAAGGAGCCAGAAAACCGCAACAACTTCTGCCTCTGGAAGCAGTATGCACATCTGGAGTGGTTGCTTGGCAACACGGAGGACGCCAGGAAGGTGTTCGATACGGCGCTCAGCATGGCGGGGGGCAGAGACCTGAAGGACCGGGAGCTGTGCGAGCTCAGCCTCCTGTACGCTGGGCTCGAGGCGGAGCTGTTGCCAGACTCGAGAGGGGCCGCCGCCGCGCGAGCCGTTCACATACTGACCAGACTGACTGAGCACGGGCCCTACGGGCCCTACTCCGGGCAGGTGCTGGCTGTTCACATCTTGAAAGCTCGCAAGGCTTATGAGCATGCGCTGCAGGACTGTTTGGGTGACGGCTGTGTCCCTAGTCCAGCTCCCAGCGACTCCTTTACCCTCCTGATCAGCCTGGTGAAGTGCTTCATGCTCTTCCAGTATCTGACGGTGGGGATCGATGCGGCCGTGCGGGTGTACGAGCAGGTGTTTGCAAAGCTGAAGGGCTCCGGTCGCCCAGGGGGCTGTGGCTCGGGGGGCTGTGCCGGCGCCCAGAGCCCGCGCGACGCGCTGGAGGCCGTCACGCTGATGCACACCAGCCTGCTCCGGTTCCACATGAAGGTCAGCCCTTACCCGCTGGCTCCCCTGCAGCAGGCCCTCTCCGAGGCCTTACACTTGTACCCAGGCAACCAGGTGCTTTGGAGGGCGTACGTACAGATTCAGAGCAAGTCCCACACGGCCAGTAAGGCCAGGAGATTCTTCAACGCAGTTACCAGGTCTACCAAACTCTTGGAGCCTTGGTTGTTTGCGATTGAAGCTGAGAAAATGAGGAAGAGGCTGGTGGAAAGCGTTCAGAGGTGAGTACAGACACCTTGTTTGTGTGTCCGTGCCTGCTGTGTCCCCACTGCCCTGCCGGTCCCCGGGGATCCGGAAGGGAGTAAGGGCCGGTGCTGGAGCGCCCACTGTGGGTGTCCCGGGTGGCAGAGGATGGCGTGCTGAGACAGGACTAGGCGGCTTGCAGGTGGCAACGGCTCATTAGGGGCTTTCATGGCTGTCTCCTGAGGCCATGCTTTTTGGGATCCTCAACGTTGCTTACGGCCTATGGGTGGTGACGCTCAGGCTTTCGGCTGTCCGAGAAGCTGTGATAAAAGCATGTTGGCCAAAGCACAGGCGTGGAGTAGGACTGTGGATTCAGAGCCCAGCTCCTCCACGTACCAGCTGTGTGGCCTTGGGCAAGGCACATCACCTCTCATGGGCCCCCTTCTGTAACGTGGGCCTCCCTCTTAGGGCTGCTTGGAGGGGCCGCCTAGGTGAGTGAGCAGAGGGAGTGGGAAAAAATTACTAGTCTCTCTTGTTATTACAGAAGATAATAGTATCAGCTCTAACATCTCTCGATGTAGTGTTCATATCTGAAGGTCAGGCAGTAGCCTGGGGAGCACATTAGCTTAGGCATATTGTTCCTTCCAGATCTTTGCTGTCCCTTCACTCTGACCTTGTTTGTATAAGCTGACTACTCGGAGTTGCCTCTGAACAGTGTTTCACTTTGTTTTTTATTTCTTCCACTGGGATTTTATTCACTCTCCTTTCCCTAAATGGAAAGGACTTTCCTTCCTATAGAGTAGAATTTGCATTCTGCTGATTAAAGGGTAGGCTTTCTTTAGAAAACAGAGAGCAGGGAGTTTGTGGGTGACTTTGAGGTGGACTTTGGTGTAGAAAACCGCACAGCCCTGGATGTGCTGCCTTCCCCTGGCCTGGGAGGGGCCACGTCTGGTCTGGGCTCTGTACCCCAAGCGCCCCCACACACGGGACAGCTCCCTCCCTGACACACTCTGGTCCTACCCGTGCCGACATGTGCGGTCACTAATGTACCTCTTCCTCCTGTGCTGCTGCGGGTGCGAGAACTGGCCTCAGAGTCACGGGAGCCTTTGTCTTGCAGGGTGGATGGGAGAGAGGTCCACGCCACGATTCCCGAGACCGGCTTGACACACCGCATCAGAGCCCTGTTTGAAAACGCGCTGCGGAGCGACAACGGCAGCCAGTGCCCCTTGCTGTGGCGGATGTACTTGAATTTTTTGGTAAGAACGTATTTCACGTTTTTAAGCCGAGCTTTAATTCCTGACAAGTGAGAAAGTAGAGGCATCCGGTAGCCGCCCCCCCAGGAAAGCTGGCGGGGCCTTGCTTTGCCCTCACACCTTCTTGGCCTCGCTTAATCCTCACGGGAACCCCGGTGGATAAGGTCTGGTGCCTTAGGACTGGGGAAGGGGTCACGGGCTGTGGGTCTCTCGGAGTTGACTTCGTTTGTTGAGCCAACAACTTGGAAATGGTCTGAGCTTTCATTGGAAAGAGACCTTAATTCTTTGCCATCTGTTCCTCAGAGCTCCCAGGTCCTGATTCTGTTCTGTCGTTAAGGATGAAATTCAGCCTAGAATGTAGCTTTTACGATAGACCTCTCCAGAGAAGCTTTGTTTTCTCTGAACAGTACCGTAGTGATTGAACACGGTAGGTGCCCTTTAATTTTGCTGACGTGCGTGTGGAGGCTGCTAGGTGGTTCCTGGGCTTCACAGAGTCCGTGAATCACCGTTGCCTTTGGCATCGGAACGGGCCTCATTTGCTAGAACACATCTGCATTCAAGTTGCGTCGTTCTTTAGAAACCTAGTCTTCTAGGCCACTTGAGTGTTTTAGCTGAAGGCCGCTAAACCACATCCACGTGATCTGTAATGAACCTCGTGGCTTTCAGAAGCCAGGAGTGACCTTCCTTATCTCTGTTTCCATTGGGTAACTTCTCAAGGCACTCGAAGTTTGTGGACTTTTCCACTTGACCTAGGACAGAGTCAGGTATAAAGAGGCGGGTAGAAAGTAAGTTACGGGTTAGGAGAGCCATGGGCCGCCTCCATCTTGATAGATTTCAGAATTCGTCTTTTTGTGCCCGCGCGCCGCCCCCCGCCCCCCCAACGCCCCCGACCTCTCACAGGCCGGCGTGGCAGGGAGGACGCAGGATCTCAGGCCAGCCACTTACTGGCACGCCTGGGACAAACAGGCACTTCCTTGTGCATGGAAGTCGGCATCAAGATGACGTACCACAAAAGTTTGTGTGCATGTTTTTTCTTTTTTAACATTTTAAAACCCAAAAGCTCAGATTTGATATTTTAATGCCCGTATGTGACGTAGAAACCTTCAGAAGTGCAGGGGCTGCTGTGGTGATCACAGTGCATTTGTGGCGGCAGCCTGTTAATCGGGTGCACCTGAGGCAGCGGTCAGAGAATGGGCTCCAGGTGCACCTCTGCTCCCGTGGGTGGGCGCTGAGCCCAAGGAGATGAGATGCTGCCCAACATTTCCAGCGCCAATACCGGGCGAGCCTGTGTCAGCAAGTGAAGACCTTGAAGTGAGGAAAGGGAGGGCTCGTGCTCTTGCCAGCTCTACTCTCTCCTGTCTTGGTCAGTAGAGGTGGATGGTGCGAGGTAGACGTCGTGTATGTTTACAAAGACTCTTCCATGAGCCAGATTCAGATTTTGGACAGAAAAACTCTTGTGGACTTGGAAGAAAAGAATGGGGCCCTTAAGGAATTTCTCCTTCAGGAAAGGTTAGCGCTGGACCGAGAAGGAGTTGGAGCCGAGTCAGAGCGGGACTTCCTGTCGCAGCTCTTGAGGCATCCGGGTTGGCTCGCAGGGCTCTGATAACCCAGGAGAAAAATCAGAATAAGACCGAATGCAGGGGTGCAGGCCGCGTGTGCCTGGAGAGGCCAAGGGGAGCTGGCTCCGTAGGGGGCCGCTGGTGCTTTGGTGGGTTGTGTATTTGTGCCTTCCTGGCTGCATGTGCGCCTGTGCAGATTTTCTCTCCTGTTTTCTTGGCCAGAACGATGGAAGGAGTTATGGTTCGTTGTTGGCCGTGCAGAGTACAGGAGTTGGGGAAAGTTAACATCACCCACTGAGGTTTGGACTTAGGTTGGAACCTCTGTTTTGGGGGTGCTTTCAAATGCGCCGTTCTCCTTACATAGTAATGCTCTCTGCTGAGCCTTGTCGTTTTGGCTAAAATTGCAGTTTTTCTTTTAATTTTTTTTTAAGTTTATTTATTTGGAGCCAGTGTGCAAGCACAAGCTGGGGAGGGATAGAGAGAGAACCCCTAGCAGGCTCTGTATTGTCAGCACAGAGCCTGATGTAGAGCTCAGATTCACAAACTGGGAGATCGTGACCTGAGCTGAAGTCGGACACTTAACCGACTGAGCCACCCAGGTGCCCCTTGTTCTTTTTTTTAAAACTTTTAAGTAAACTATTCCCAACATGGCGCTCGAGCTCACAACCCCAAGATGAAGAGTCACTCGCACCATCAATTTAGCCAGCCAGGTGCCCCCAAATTGCCGTTATTTTCAAGATTCTCAGAGTGTTTTAATTTGACCACGTACCTAGTTCCCTAAGTGGGAAAGAAACTAGTGTATAAAATGGTCAGCTGGTGACGTGGGCCCGATGAAGTCAGTAAAGGGAGCAGTGGCACCGGACTGTGTGGCCGCTGATTGTATTTCACCCTCTGGGGGTCATTACTTCTTTCCTGTTGGCCGCTAGAAGCTGGAGTGTATGGACAGGCCGGAATTTACAGGAGCCGATGGGAGTCTTGTTGTGCTCACGGCGCTGGTGCTGTGCACGTAGCCTTTGGAGGGGCTGTCGGAACCCGAGGCCACCACCCAGCCCTGCTCCTCTGCGGCTGTGGGCTCGGCCCGCCCTGAGGGTGACGGAGCGCGTGCTGTGGCGGTGGCACCCCTCCCCACGGCTGGCCGGCTGCCCCCAGGCAGATCCGCACAGGGCAGTTTCTGTAGCACTGGACTCTGCTTCAAGTAATCATTTCTGTGCTTTGCCCCCTGCCTCAGGTGTCCTTAGGAAACAGAGAGAGGAGCAAAGGCGTGTTCTACAAAGCGCTTCAGAGTTGTCCCTGGGCAAAGGTAAGTTCCAAAGCCCCTGAGATCGGCACGTCCCCAGGGACCTTCCGCCAAGGTTCGGTGGGTACACCGCTTGTCATCGTGTAGCTGTCCGCTGTGGCGCCTCAGCTGACAGGCTATTGTTCCCTCTCCCTGCGCTGGAGCTGGCATTTCACGGGCACAGCCTTGCTGTGGGCAAGGGCTTCTGTCATTTGCCCGGAGCTCAGCCCAGATGCTGAAAGCACTGGGGTCTCTGTCCCAGCTCTGCCTCGCAGAGCCTGGTCAGGAGGCATCAAAAATGGGGACAGAAATGTCTGCCTAGGCCTGGCCCCACTTTGGGAAGGCTTTGCTGGCGTTCACCCCTTCCACACCACATCTGGGAGTCGGGCGTCCTTCCCGAAGGTCGGCCAAGGGGAGTGCAGGCTGCGGGGGTGGCCGGGCGCAGCTCGCTAGCAAGGACCCCCGGCCCTAGGTGCTGTACCTGGACGCCGTGGAGTACTTCCCCGAAGAGCTGCAGGAGGTGCTGGACCTGATGACGGAGAAGGAGCTCCGGGTGCGCCTGCCGGCCGAGGAGCTGGAGCTTCTGCTCGAGGACTAGGGACCAGGAGGGACGGGTCCCCGCCTGCCCCCGCCGGAGCCAGGACCACAGGATGCGGACGCATGCGTGTGAGCCTGTTAGGAGACCTATGCTTTTCAAGTTTAATTCTTAGTAATCTGTGTCCGGGTTATCAGTCTTCTACCTCTTGCACATGTTTTGGATGTGTAAAGGACACAGAAGCTATTGTTTACATATTATATATGTGACCGTGTGTATGTAGGTAACAATTATGCCAAGTGAAAAGGAAACCTGTCGTGGTTGGCGGGCGGAGGTCCGCTCTGCGCCTCACTGGCCGGCCGGCCGGCGCCCGCCCTGGGAACGTGCCCCGTTGGCATCCTTGCTGTCCTGCCGTCGGGGTAAGAAAGGTCTGGTTACTCAGCACTAGGGCCTCTCCCCGCAGCTGGTTATAGCAGGACAGATTTTGCCCTAAGAGCCATTTAAAACTTGGTGTTCTGACCTCTGTCAAGTGTGTTAAAATTTCTTATTATCCGCTAAGCTCGACTTGAGGCCGCCTCCCCTCTGTGGCCCAGTAGCACCACCTGGGGGCTCGTTAGACATGCAGCCTCTCGGGCCCACCCACCTCAGCCCTTCTGAGTCAGGGCCTGCACTGGAGCAGGACCCCTGGGGACTTAGGTGCACGCAGCGTGGGGAGCACCGCCTGAAGGACCCCTGCATGCGGGGAGCACCGCCCAAAGGACCCCTGAAGGCATCCGTCTGAGAAGTAGAGTGGGGCCAGCGCCTTCCCGCCAAACCCACTCCTGCCTGAGACCAGCCCCGGGTACGCTCTCTCCTGGGGACTGCGACACTGAGGCCCATACCGGCCACATTCTTGTTTTGATTTCTGAGGGTATGAATGGAATGAAATGTAAATATCTACATTCAGACCACTTTCTTCTGAAAAGGACATGCCTTGCAGTCAGTCATTATTAACAACATTCAACTGGGCAGAAATTGCTTGATTTTCCCTGAGGTCCTGCTCGAAGTGAAATTTGGTCAGCTGCTGACAAAAAAAATAGGATCTCTAGAAGGGCTGAAGTAGTATTTCTTTGGCATCTCATCCAGAGAAGCCCATGTTGTGAACAGACTCTTGCCTAGGAACCAGTGGACGCTGGATGGGGAGAAGGGGGCAGGTCAGCGCACCCGAGGAAGGGGGCAGGCCAGCCCCGGGGACACGTGCCGCCATCTGCCCCACTTCCTTACCGGCTTGAAGATGGCGCTGTTCAGGGGAGAGAAGTGCAGGAAGTAGATGCAGAAAGGTCAGGGGGATGAGGTTTCTAAACCCGTAAGAACAGGGAGGATGGGGCAGAATCCTTTCAGGAACCTTTCTTAGCAACGCCAGTACCTTCCTGCCCCAAGAATGCGTTCTAGTAGACCCCTCATGCTCCAAAGACCTTCCAGAAGGGAAAGCTGGGTCTCCTTCCAAAGCCAAGCCACACACTTGGCCTCTGCAGTCACGGTTTCTTTCCCAGTAGCTGCTGTCCAGCCCTGCCACTGGGGAGGAGAGCAAGGCGGGAGGTGTTCATGTCTACACTGGCCGTCACCCAGAAGCCTCCCTAGCACCTTGGTTCACCTGCTTGTTGCTGCTGAGCGGCCGGCGTGCAGGCTCCAGGAACAGGATGAACGGTCTGAGGAGGAAGTCGCTTTATTGAGGGGAGAACACTGCACGTGGCTGACACAGGAAGGCAGCCTGGGGGCGCCCTACACATCAGGCTCAGAAAGGGGCACGGGGTGGGGGGGGTTTGCTAAGAAAGATCAACTGGACGAGGTTCCTCTGGCAGCTTCCTGGCCATCTCCTTGAAGGCAAATGTGGCTACAGGTAGAGCCCCTCAGGGGTGCCTTCTTGCTTTTTATAAAGAACATTTTCTTTAGATTTTTTAAAGTCTTCATTTGTTACTTTCATCCTGCGTTCTCTCAAGGCCATCAGACCGGCTTCTGTACAGATTGCCTGTGAGAAAGAACAGTATGTTCAGAAAAGGAAATCCTCTGTATTTGAACAATTCAGAGCTACTTCGAAATAAGGTGTAAGACACCCAGGCTAAAACTGCTTAAACCATTTGGGAAAAGATTAGATCTTGTGAATGTTTTAAGCATTCTAACAACTTTCTCAGAGGATCTGAAGTGGCTCTGAGGAGGAGGACTGGCTCGGGGTCTAGCTGGTGGGGTGGCCCGGGAGGGAAGCTCTACCACCAATGCCCCACTCTCGTCACAGGGAGTCCCGTTCCCAGGCAACAGATGCAGTTACGCCGGGAAACTCCGAGGCAGCGGAGCACCCATCCATTTCACCTGTCTACACGGAGCAGAGGACCTGTGTCCTGGCTGTACGGGAATCTCCGTGTCACGTGCCAAAAGTAAAACCACGCATGCAACATGATGTGATAAAACCACAACCTCGGCCCTGAAGTTTATCTGGTAGTGACCTTCAGGGTATTTCAGATGGTTCAGCGAAAAAGAAAGTGAACAAAATATAAAGAAGTAAAAGGGTAACATTTGGTGAATTGAAGTGATGGGTATATGGGTGCTATTACAACTTTTCTGAAGACTTTGAATTTCTCAAACTATAAAGCTGGTGCAAAATGTAAAAAAGCTCTTGAAAACTGAAATCACCAAAAAAGACACCCAGTTCTGCAGGTGCCAACGACGCACGGTTCCGCACAGGCACTGGCGTGAAAAGGCCCTACGTGCGCCGTCCCCACCTGACCGTGGCCCTCACAGTGGACAGGAACCCAGGTCCTCACGTACAAAGCAGGCCGGACCCATACTCCGTGCTGCCAGACCTCGCCGTCACTCACACACACAAAACCAAGAGGTGCGGTCCAGCCCAGGTTCCCACCTTGATGTCGGCCCCGGAGAGGTCATCTTTAGCCATGATCAAGTCATCCAGGGTCACGTCATCGGCCAGCGTCATCCTGCTTGTGTGGATCTGAAAGATGCGCTTCTTAGTCTTTTCATCGGGCAGGGGGAACTCAATTTTCCTGTCAATGCGGCCTGTGGGTATAAAAAGTTTCAGGTCAGGCTCCGCCTTGGCCCCTCACACATGCAGTTTCGGTCAGAGGGACACTTCCCGTGTGGGAAGGGGTCCAAATCCTGAAAAGTGAATATTGCTTTTTGTAGTCTGTAAATACCCACATTTGGGCTAGCATAGGAGTTATTCAGAAAAAAAGAATACTCATTATGGGGAAGAGAAACAGTCACAAGACTGTAAGGAAAAGGACCACACGTCGCCTGCTACATCACGTTCTTCCTTAACCATTACCTCAGGAGATGCAGCTTTCCGGAAGTTATTCTACACTTCAATAATGTATCTGCCTTGACATGTAGTTGTAAATCCCACAAAAGTGCACTTAAACACATAAACACACTCATTCTCCATGATGGGACAAAAGCAAATTCGACCTGGTCTGATAAGTGCTGGATCCAAAGTTTCTATTCGGTTTGTGGCCATGATAACTTTCACGTCACCCCTTGAATCAAAGCCATCCAGCTGGTTCAACAGTTCCAACATTGTTCGTTGAATTTCTCTTTCGCCACCGGAATTTGAGTCATATCTTTGAAAACGAAGAGAAGGAAAATCTGACATCTGCTGAAGGGGAATTAGAAAAACACCTCTGATGCCCTCAATTCTAGCAACAAAATCAGCACTCCCTCCCCAACCACCGCATCACGTTACTTAAATCGTTGACGATTTCAGGCCTGATGCAGCGTCATGAGTTCATCCTCCATGTTTAGTATCTGAGCCCCCAACCTGATCGTGAGCTCTCAGAGGCTCGCAACAGTGGCAGTGTCCCCAGAGTCCAGATGATGCCTGGCTCAGAGTGGATGCTCAAGGCATGGCTGCAGACTAACCTCCAGACGGTCACGACTCCTGGCACCTGGCACCTTGGAGCAGAGCCTATGGCGTCCAGAGAGAGCCGCGCACAGTAGGAGCCGAGGCAAACCCATGTGCAGGCCACACAGGCAGTACTCCAGGATCATTCTCACACGAGAGCTACACGTTTTTATGTCTAAACAGCACAAAGAGACAGCCGTACCTTTTTGTTCCAATGGCATCAATTTCATCAATAAACACGATGGACGGTGCATGTTCCTCCGCAACTCGAAACAATTCCCGAACGAGTTTGGGCCCGTCACCTAGGTACTTCTGTATAAGTTCAGAGCCAACCACTCTTAGGAAAGTGGCTGAGGTTTGGTTTGCTACTGCTTTGGCTAATAAGGTTTTACCTATTTTAAATTAGAAAAAAGACAAGACAGGGATAAAAACCCTCAAGTGTTGTTTTAACTTAAAAATCTATCACTACCATCAAAAATGGGCAGACCCCTCTGATGAAAAGGCACGCCACCATTCCAGTGTCTTGACATTATGTTCTCTAAGGCAGAGAAGAGGAAATTCAGAACGTTCTGATTATTTTTATCTATTTTCCTAAAGTCATCATGTCAGAAAATACATTTTAACTAGATTATTCGAACTTGCATAGAATATTAACCTGACCCATGCAACCAGGGTTTGAGATCCAACTCAACTCCTATGAAACAATCAGTGATGGAAAAACGGCCCGAGAACCCTAGGTTTGACCTAAGGAAACACTCTTTCCAGAGCACCAGGCCTGCAAACCCCAGCGGCCACCCAAGGAGTCGTGGCTGTGCTGGGTGGGCTTGCCCGAGGCTCAGCTGAGACGGCCGGTTCCCAGTGAAGCCCACAACCACAGTTCAGCTCTAGAAACTTCTCTCAGTCTCTGGTGTGCCCTCATGAGGAGCTTCCTCTCGCCAATCTCAGGGAAGATCTCAAACATTTCTAATCCTGCCCCATTTCTTGATATTTCTATTTCAGGTCAAAAATAAGGACCTGGCAACCACTCTGAACTTTAGGGCGAGAAGACCTTGGCCCCTTGATGATGAGTGAGGACAGGGGCAAAGGGCCAAGCGGGAGCATCAGGACACAGTGGCAGTTGGAGGCAGAGCCGGTAAAGGACCAACCTTAGGTGCGCAGGGGAAGGGGAGGAGGCTGCCGGTGAGTAACAGACACAGAAGACTTAGTTCAGTGGGAAGGAGGACAAAGCGCCAAGCTTTACAACAAAATGTGGCAACGACACCCTTGTGGTGGGACAGGGCGGGAGTGCGGGCTTGCAAGTGTGGACTACTCCCTGGGGAGAACCGATTAAGGCTGGTGAACAGAAGACAAAATAGGACCTTTCTAAGTGGCTGGCATCTTACGGTCCGAAAGCTGTAGGCCAGCTGCTGTGGCACTGCAGTAACCAGAGGGACCCCTGAACCAGTTTCTTCCTTCCCCTGACGGGCCTGCCACCCTGTGCTTCACCCCAGCACCTCGGATCAGCCCCCGCAGTGCGTGTGCACCAGAGGCAGCCTCTGTTCCAGCCTCTGTACCAGCTCAGCTCCCAGAGCCACTGCGGCCTGGGGGCTAGTAGTCTCCGGCCCCTCTGAGACTTTACTTCCTGGACTGTGAGATGGAAGCTGCAGAAGCTCTGAGTTCACCTGTGTCCCTGTCCCTCCACTGTGGGCAATCCTGTTATCCCAGAATCCTCCTGGGGACAGTTTCAAGTCACTCAAATAACTGCTTCCTTTGGGATTTACACAGCAATGCACTGCTAAGTCCTGGATTGTACAACTTACACTAATTACACAGTAAACCAAATGTTTGTATTTTTATCTTCATCTGTTCACTCAGTACCAGTGGACCAGAGAATGAACCTAATCTGAACAGCACAGAATAGATTTTAAATCAGTGGTTTTCCACCATGTTCTGATGTCTGGCCACGCTCTAGATGCAGATGGGGATTTTCAGGGATGGGACCAGGTATCAGTATTTTTTTTAAGCTCCAAGGTGTACGGCCAAGGTTGAGCACCCAGGTTTATTTGTGTCTTATAAAGTGTATTTAATAGACTCCCATTAATCCTATGAATACTTGAAAGCCTTATGTTTTACAGCATATAAATGGAGTACAGAAGAGGAGTTCTAAAAACCTAATACATTCACAGTGAGCAGGCACTCAGGGAGGGGGTGCCTACCGGCGTTTATTTGTTGTTGCAATTCCTGCTGTTGTTAACATTAAGCCTGTTAAGTCTACAATTTCAAGTCTAAGATAATTCAGTTTCTTAGCATCTACTCTACAGATAAATATACTTTTATGTAATAGGTATGTCTCCGCATTTATTCCAAAAATGTCCAAAACGATGCTTAGAGAACTCTGTTTGAGACTAAGGAACTGTGGCATCCTTACTCAAGAATGAAATAATTAGAACAAGTTAACGCCGCTGCTCCAGAGCTCAGGTGGGTGCCCAGAAAGCGTCACAGAGCACACGTACCTGTGCCAGGTGGTCCGTAGAGAATGACCCCCTTTGGGGGCTTTATACCCATCTCTTCGTAATATTCGGGATGAGTGAGAGGAAGCTCCACAGATTCCTATAGAAAATAAACACTGGTCAAAATGAAATGCTTTCTTCCTCAAATGATCAGATCCATTAACCGGCATCATGACTATAGCTCACTTTCAACGAAAATAAGCTAAGCTCTCACTTACTACTGCTAGAGACACTGCGGCCGACTTCACCTAGCAGCAAGGACAAAGGAAGAGGACATCCGTCCTACCTGAACTGCCAGCACCCATCCCCTTCCTCTTGCTCCCAATTTCCCTCTAACTTTCCAGAAGTTAGCCTTGAGCAACATCTAGTGAGCTCTTCCTGAGCAAAAGGAACTTAAAAAGTGAAAACACACCCTCCTTTCCACTTAAACTACACGGGAGATGGCATGATTTTCCCAGTGCTGTTACACCGACGGACATGATGGCTGGAGGTCCAGCTGTCTGAGAGGTCCCGGGGGGACTCCCATGATGGCTCTGCAAGACCTCCCTACAGATGGAGAACCTGCAGGGGGCTGGCCCACAGCCAACCTGAATGACCACTTCACCTCCCCCGACTCACACTGCCCCCACGTCACTGGAGGTGTCCAGATGCCACAGCTGAAGTTCACGCAAACAGACACATTACATGTTCACCCAGATAATAAACACTGCATATAACGAGGATTAAGCTGCAGCTGCTGGAAGAATAACCACAATTTATTTCTATTACCTAACTCCGTATTGACAACTACAAAACACCACAACTGGCAAACGCTGAGTGTTACTTGTTTGATCACTAAAGAAAAAACAAAATATGCAAGATAACTTTAAGCACCCTAAATAAGCCAGTAGTAAGAAACCAAAAGTCTAAAAACCAGAGCCAGTTCCCAGACCTACCTTAATTTCCTGGATCTGGTTGTCCAAACCCCCAATATCAGCATAGGTTTCCTGGGGGGCCTTTTCTACCTTCATCACTGTGACCAAGGGATCCGTGTCATCCATGAGCACCCCTATGACGGCATGTACCTAACAGAGAACATTACGTTTTACTGCAGGGATGTGAGGTTTACACAACCCATTTACAACCGTGCAATACCAATCACCAGGACGGCACGGACGGACAGATCTGAGAGGAAGGAGAAAGCATTCCTAAGGGCTTAGACACCAGCAACTTGCCTTGTGGTTGAGCAGGACTGAACAGCCTGGTTCCAGCAGGTCCTTGTCTACAAAGGAAAGAATGCTGACGTAGTGTTCTGAGCCCACAGATGTGGACACGATGGCATGATTGTCATCAATGATCTCTTCCAGCGTTCCTACCGACATTGGGGTCCCCCTCAGATCATCCACCTTTGATCTTTCCTCCTATGTAAGAGTATGCATGAAGGAAAAGCAGATTAGACCTAAAAAGTAGACAATGCTGACAGTTTTACTAGATTTACTAGATTTTACTGTTTACAAAGCAGGTGGTGCTGTTAAAATGCAGCTAATTTATGATTCATAAAAGCCTAAACAGGTCAATTACTTGGATTTCATTTATTCACCGAATTCTATTTAATAACCAAAACTGTTATTTTGTAAAATGAAAGTTACAGTAATTTCTCAACTTACCTCTTGCTTTTCTTCTAAAGGCTTCATTTGTTCCTGATTTCTAATGAATTCTTCCTCCATGAGAAGGTAGTCTTTAATTCTCTCTAACTTCAGTAATTTTAAACGGCACTGAGTGTGAGGTGTCACTGTAATTAAAAAAGGTTTATTGTATTTGGAGCTCAAAGTTTGCAATGAATTAAGTCCATCCATAAGGAAAAAAGGTTAAGACTTAAAATGAGCAGGTGTCTAACTGCAAAAGGAAAAGAGACTCTGACAGTTACAAGTAAGCAGGTAGAAAGGGGACAAGGTGTACGACCAGACAGCTATTACAAAATGACATACGCAAAGTGAACTGTCTATATATGTAAGAAGAAAAGAACTCAGTGACCCAAAAGATAGTTTGCTTTGGTTTTTTATTCCCCACAGGTGTTAATGTCTCTCCTTCCCTAAGGTTAAATATATTCCCAAATTTTCATTTATTTACTTATTTTCAAGTCTGTAATCCATCTGATAAAAAGGGGTCTAATTTCATTTTCCTTCAATAGCAACTAAAATATGCCAGCCATTTATGTTAAAGAACTCCTCCTCTTCCCACAGAACTCAGACGCCACCTTTACTACATGGTAATGACCCCTGTAGCCTTTAGACTTCCTATGCTCTGCCAGCAATCTGAGGACCTAGTCTTTACCGGTACCATATTGATTCATTATTCATTTTTTTCAAACTGTCTGACTCCTTTCATTCTGATCCAACCAATATTTAAAAAATGATTTCATCTAAGCAGGGAAACACTTGTTTTGATGGGGGTGGAGGGGTTCTATGAGCCGAAGTGATGAGAAGGCAGCCATGGGAAGGACATTTTTAAGCAAAGGGCAAAAGCCCTACTTTGAGTAAGAGTCAGAGAACACAAGGCAGGGCCACGTGAACGAGCAAGGGAGTGGCGGGCTGAGGACGGAGAGGTGGGCTGCGTCAGCTCACCGGGTCCGAATCTTGGTCTATGTTCAGTACTAAGCCAATGAAACAGCTGATGTTCAGGAATCACAAGATGGGAATTCCAACATAATGGCATTCCGTTTCTTCAGGGAATAAGCATGTTTCTACATTATTCAAACTCAACCTGAGTTTTCTCATCTCAAACTACACTTTTTGCACATTAGAGGGAGGGTGGTTATTTAAGTGAGACGTGGCTGTATACTGTCTGTACACGGCTACCATCAAAACAGCTGTGCTGCAGCCGAGGGGAGCGCCGCATACAGGAGCCAGAGCTGCGGCCACCCGTCTCCTGCCTCCCCACTCAGACCGCTAAACTGCACACACACAGACGGCGCTCATGGGATCGAGACAGCAAGGAGGACCATTACCCAGTGGCAGCTTGCTGGCAGCATCTGGTCCCTTTGTTTTCTTCTTCTTTTTCCCCACTCTTGTTGGTACAGGAGGTTCGTATTTCTTTTTCTTGTCCTTGAAATTTTAGAACAGCAAGAAAAAACAAAAGCCAAACAAATCGTATCAAAACACAAACTTACTTCTGTAGGGCCATCATCCATTTCTAGAGGCTATAATTTTCCGTATCTTTCAGAATGCTATTAAAAAATTGTCCTTTTATAAATAAAGCTAGGTTTATATAACACTCTTGCAATTTTAATGGGTAAATGTAACTGATCTCTTTATTTTTATTTTATTTTTTTAAAAATATTTTTGTTTATTTCTAGGAGAGAGAGAGAGACAGCGTGAGCAGGGAGGGTCAGAGAGAGAGACAGCGTGAGCAGGGAGTCAGAGAGAGAGGGAGACACAGACTCTGAAATAGGCTCCAGGCTCAGAACTGGCAGTCAGCACAGAGCCCGACGCAGGGCTCAAACCCATGAACTGCGAGATCATGACCTAAGCGAAAGTCGGACGCTTAACTGACTAAGCCACCCAGGCACCCCTGTTTTATTTTTAAAAGTTTATTTATTTGAGAGAGTCCATAGGAGAGGCAGAGAGCGCGTGCGCACACATATGAATCCCAAGCAGGCTCTCTACTGTCAGTGCGGAGCCTGATGTGGGGTTCAATCTCACAAACTGAGATGATGACCGGAGCTGAAATCAAGAGTCAGACACTTAACCAACTAAGCCCCCCCAGGCACCCCTTGATCTTTCTTTTTACAATACACAATGATAAATTATTCAATAAGGACTAGAGATCAAAATTCAGAATTAAATACCAAAAGTTTGAGCTGAAATAATGTGACAATTCTTCTTTACATCTGAGGATATTAAACACTAATTTACTGGCAATTTATTTTAACACTCTGTAATGTTATTTTACACATTTAAAAATCATTAATTTGGGGTGGGAGGCCAGAGTGGCTCAGCTGGTTAAGTAAGCATTCGCCTCGTGGTTTTGGCTCAGGCCATGATCTCATGGTTTGCGGGTTCGAGGCCTGCGTCATGGTCCATGCCTGCCTGGGATTCCAGCTGCCTGTCTTACACCCACACACTCTCTCAAAATACATTAAAAAAAAAAAAAATCATTAGTTCAGTGCACCTGAACTTCAGCTGTTTGATGCTTCAGATGCTTCAGTCGTTTGAGCATCTGACTCTTGATTTTGGCTCAGATCATGATCCCAAGGTCATGGAATCAAGTCCCGTGTCAGGCTGTGTGCTGACTTTGGAGCCGGCTTAAGATTCTCATTCTCTCTCTCTCTCTCCAGCCGCGCCCCCCCCCAACACACACTTTCTCTCTAAAATCAAAATCATTAATTCATAATTACTTGACAGATCAACAATCTTTTCTAGAACATGAAAAGGATACTGTATCTGAAGCCAGGCTAGTTAAAGAACTACAGGTCATTTATTTTGCATTTTGACACTCACAAATCCCTACAGAACTTCTCAGCTGAGAGCTGTGATATGTTGCACAATGTACATCAAAGATACATCTGGCTTATTTACCTTGTCATCCTTCTTGCCACCTCCAGGGCCATGACCACCACTCTGACTTTGACCCTGAAAAAAAGAAATCAGAGGTGTAAATTCAGAATGTGATCACTTCAAAGATTCCATGACACCCAAACCCCCCCTCATTTTAACATTTCTGGACTTCAGATGTGCCCTGCAGTCAACATGCAAATTTGGCATGGCAGAATTTCTTTTTTTCCTGAAAAGCTGTTAGATCAGTGGTGTGCCTTGCAACTGACTGCATCCTAAATCACAGACAACTCTATTAAGAGACTGGTGGATCCTAATGTGGCTGGGATCCAAGACCACCCCTTTCTGAGGGGACATTCTTTAATATAAAACTACTTGAGCATATTTCATGAAATTAGGCCATCAAAGCTAAATCACTTTACCTACTTAACAATCACTTATCATTTACTCCTTACTAAAATTACACCAAGACCCAGGAGACTTTCCTTTCAATAGCATCTTATACCTCCCATCTCTGAAGCCTGGGGCTCTCAGGCAGGTCCTTCTTCCCAGCCTGAAAAGCTAAATCACCTTAAAGTATCAAGATCTCAAGTGTATTAACATGCTCGTGGGATTTCAGGTTTTATTTATTTATTTTCTTAAATAGCTTATTGTCAAGTTGGTTTCCATATAACACCCACTGGTCATCCCAACAAGTGCCCTCCTTCATGTGCATCACCCCTCTTCCCCTCTCCCCATCAGCCCTCAGTTTGTTCTCAGTATTCAAGAGTCTCTCATGGTTTGCCTCCCTCCCTCTCCCCAACTATTTTTCACCTTCTCCCCCATGGTTCTCTGTTAAGTTCCTCCTAATCCACCTATACATGCAAACATGGTATCTGTCCTTCTCTGCCTGACTTATTTCACTTAGCATAACACCCTCAAGTTCCATCCACATTGTTACAAATGGCCAGATTTCATTCTTTCTCATTGCCATGTAGTATTCCATTGTATAGATAAACCACATCTTCTTGATCCATTCATGGACATTTAGGCTCTTTCCATGATTTGGTTATTGTTCAGAGTGCTGCTATGAACACTGGGGTACATGTGCCCCTGTGCATTAGCACTCCTGTATCCCTTGGGTAAATTCCCAGCAGTGCTATTGCTGGGTCATAGGGGAGTTCTACTGTTAATTTTGTGAGGAACCTCCACACTGTTTTCCAGAGGGGCTGCACCAGTTTACAATCCCACCAACAGCTATGTAGGAGGGTGCCCATTTCTCCACATCCTCGCCAGCATCTAGAGTTCTCTGATTTGCTCATTTTAGCCACTCTGACTGGTGTGAGGTGGTATCTCAGTGTGGTTTTGATTTGTATTTCCCTGATGAGGAGGGATGCTGAGCATCGTTTCTGTGTCTGTTGGCCATCTGGATGTCCTCTTTGGAGAAGTGTCTGTTCATGTCTTCTGCCCATTTCTTCACGGGATTATTTGTCTTTCAGGTGTGGAGTTTGGTGAGTTCCTTATAGATTTTGGATACTAGCCCTTTATCTGATATGTCATTTGCAACTATTTTTTCCCATTCCGTCAGTTGCCCATTAGTCTTATTGTTTGTTTCCTTTGTCATGCAGAAGCTTTTTATCCTGATGAGGTCCCACTAGTTCATTTCTGCTCTTGATTCCCTTGCCTTTGGGGATGTGCTGAATAAGAAATTGCTGTGGTAGAAGTCAAGGAGACGGTTTCCTGCTTCTTCCTCTAGGGTTTTGATGGTTTCCATATTCAGGTCCTTCATCCATTTTGAGTTTATTTTTGTGCATGGTGTGAGAAATTGATCTAGTTTCATTCTTCTGCATGTTGCTGTCCAGTTCCCCCAGCACTATCTATTAAAGAGGATGTCTGTTTTCCATTGGATACTCTTTCCCACTTTGTCAAAGATTAATTGGCCATACATTTGTGGGTCCAATTTTGAGTTCTCTATTCTATTCCACTGGTCTACGTGTCTGTTTTTGTGCCAATACCATACTGTCTTGATGACAGCTTTGTAGTAGAGGCTAAAGTCTGAGATGGTGATGCCTCCCATTTTGGTTTTCTTCTTCAATATTACTTTGGCTTTTGGGGTCTTTTGTGGTTCCATACAAATTTTAGGATACTTTGTTCTAGCTTTGGGAAGAATGCTGTTGCAGTTTTGATTGGGATTGCACTGAATGTGTAGATTGCTTTGGGTAGTAATAACATTTTAATAATATTTATTCTTCTAATCCGTGAGCATGGAATGTTTTTCCATTTCTTTGTGTCGTCTTCAATTTCCTTCATAAGTTTTCTATAGTTTTCATCATGCAGATCTTTTACGTCTTTGGTTAGGTTTATTACTAGGTATTTTATGTTTTTTTGTGCAATTGTGAATGGGATCAGTTTCTTGATTTCTCTGTTGCTTCATTATTGATGCATAAAAATGTAACCAATTTCTGTATGTTGATTTTGTATTGGGTTTTTAAACAGACCCCTTGGTTACAAGGGACTGCTTCACAAAGAACAGTACCTTAAATAGTGAACTTACTTGAACAGAGGGGTCCTCAGTAATCACTTCCACGTAAGCACCTCTAAGTTAATACACTGTCAGCTTCATTATCAAGACAGAGCAAGCATATCATGGCTACCTAAAAGAATTAGGGTCAAATATAGTTCTCCCGCCTGCAGGATTCTTAAAATTTTGTGTTTTCTGAAGAAGGTAATTACAGGCTCTGAGAAATTTTGGTTAACAGACGTAGTTACACTGCAATGGGCTTTCCAAATTACAGGCCTTTAGCAATTACTTACTCACACCTCCTAAAGAAATGTGCTGCTGGCTGTGGCAGCTAACGTTTGTGGGTTGCTTACTATGTGCCTAACTCTGTACCAGGCATTTTCCTTCACCATTTCATTAATTCCACACCATCTTTCAAGGTGGGGTTTATTATTCTCCATTTTAGACAAAGAACTGTGAGGAGCCTAAGAACATGGGCTATGGAATCAGATGCATCTAACTTTAGACTCTGGCTTTAGGTCACCTCCCTGAGCATCGGCATTCTTAACTGGAAAGTGGGGATGATTCTAGCTCCTGTTACTGAAGATGAGGTAACAGGTAAACCGCTCAGCATTTGCAGGACTGGAAGTAACTACTCAGCAATACAACACTGCTGGTAACTAAGAAATGTCAGGGTCAGGATTTTAATGATCAGTCTGGTTACAAAATCTAGGCTCTGAAATAAATCTATGTCGTTCATCTCTGTTTTTATCCAGGACTCTGACTTCCCGCTGACATTCCCACAGCACTGTCTCCCCTCACCTGTCCAGCTATCCCCTTGTAAAAAACAAAGAGCTGATCCTTTAATTCTCCTCAAAAACCTTCAGCTGCTCCCCACATTTACAGTGTATTGTCCAAACCCCAGAGTGGCACACGTGGCCCTTGCCAAACTGGCTGCAGCTGACCTTTCCCAGCTTCATCTACCTCTCTCGTGATCCCGCAAGCCTGGCCCCACAGGGAGGCAATTTTCCTGGGCGGGTCCTAAACTTCTTCGTTTCTGGGGCATTTTACAAGATGTTTCTCAATCTCAAATAACAATAACAAATATACCCATTATCAAGTCCTGAATCTACACCAAACTGCATTCTCAGGGTACCATCTGATTTACTTCTTACAGGCTCTGTGAGGTTGGTACAATCATTGAACCCTCGTTTACAGCTAAGGAGACGAAGGCACAGGGATGTTAAGTGACCTATTATCACAAAGCTTGTCACATACGCAGCCAGGAATCCCTTCTACTGGATACCAGTCTCTCTACTGCATGGCTTCTAGCAAAGACTGGCAGGGTTTGCATAATAGCACAGCCACTCACTGTGTCTCCCTTTCCTCCTTGTAAAGTGAGGATGATAATGATTACTGCAAGGATAAGAAGAAAATGCTGGAAAGTAACCCTGCGTTTACTGAAGCATTATTTACAGTAGCCAAGATACGGAAACAACCTAAGGGCTATCAATAAATGAATGGATAAAGATGTGGTGTGTAAACGCACAAACACAACGGATATTACCCAGCTATTAAAAAAAAAAAGATCTTGCCATTTGTGCTGTTAATGGACTCAGAGGGTATTAAGTTAAATGAAGTCAGACAGAGAAAGGCAAATACCTCATGACTTCACTTAATACATGGAATCAAAAAACAAAGCAGAAACAGATCCATAAACACAGAGAACTGGTGGCCGCCAGAGGGAGGGGGCAGTGGATGAAGGGGATGGAAGGTACGGGATTCCAGTGATAGAAGGTGCTCAAGTTCCAGGGGCACAGCACATAAAGCACATAAATGCATAGTCAACGGTACTGTGATGGCACCTCACTGTATGGTGACAGATGGGAGCTACACTTGTGAGCACAGCATAGTACAGACTCGTCCAATCACTGGGTTGTCCCCCTGAATCTAATGTAACACTGCGTCAGCTGTACTTCAATAATGATAATAGTGCTGGAAAAGCACCTAGCACATGCTTAGAACATTACCCCAAAGTCCTTATAAGACCCAGAAGACTCTGTGGTCAGGCGTTCTTGACGTTGAGGATACAGGCTAAACGTACTGCCATCTTGGGCCCTTTGCACTTACTACTCCTTCTGCCACGATCCCCTCAGAGGTCTGCATATGCTACTCTCACTTTGTTTAGACCTCTGCTCAAATCTCACCTCCTCGGAGGGGCCTTTGCTGACACCCTACGTGAAGTGGCCACCTCTCCCATCCCATCCCTTTCTATAAACAACCACACAGCAAGGGCTAAGCACCAATCTCTAATCCGCTCCCTGCCATTATATGGCATGTCTGTTTTTCAATTTTTTTTTTTTTGTCTGCCTTGTCTAGAATGTAAGCTCCATGAAGGCAGAGATTTCGCCAATCATGGTCACCTCTTGTACCCTCAGTGCTTAGAGCAGAGCTTGCCCCCCCCCCCAAAAGTTGCGGGTGCTCAACAGATACCTGCCTAGTTAACGAAGAAACGCTAGCGGCAGCTTCCCCTCCGAGGTCCCCCAGTCATACAGACGTCAGTCTTGAACGCCTCTTCCAAGTGGCCCCACTCCGAGCGGTCCTCCACCCCCGCGCTCTCCGCTCCTCGGCCGGAACGAATCCCTCCCTCTCCTCCGGCCGCGCAGCCCTGCACCTGAGCGGCTCGGAGAGCCCTCGTCCCAGGTGCTCGGGGAGGCTCCCGCTAAAACTCCCCGCGCCGCTCGGCAGGGCCCGCGTCAACGGAGGAGCAAGGCCGGGCGCCCCGACCCGCTCCGCCGCCCCACTAGCCCTCCCGGGGGGCCCTTAGCGCCGAGCTCCGGCCCCAGGGACCCCGGGCGCGGCCCGCTGGTCGGGCCCGGGCCGCGGCGGACCTCGGAGCCTCGGTCCCGCAATGAGACCGGGCCGGTGGGCCGGGGAGCGGGCGGATCGAGTGCCTCGGGGAGCCGTCTTGCCCTCTCGTCTCGGGTCGCTTCGACCCCGTCGCACCGCGACTACGGGCCGAAACCCTTAGTCACTCACCATCTTGCTTCAGCCGCTCGAACAGCCGCTACCGGAAATACATCCACCAAGGCGGCCGACAGAAGCGGAAGTTGCCTAGGGACGCTACGGAAGCTGATAGGAACCAAATCCCTCGCTGAAGGACTCGCGCTCCAAGCGCTTGTGTGGGGCAACGAAGTAACAGAAGCGAAATGTGAATCTTGTCAATATTTTACTTGAAAAAAATGTAAAGCGAAGTTATTAGGATGTTGTCAACAATTTTAGACAACGAGGTAGACTTTCAAAGAACTAAGACAATTGTGAAAATATAAAACATTTAAACTGTGCAACAATCATAACTGAGAAGAACTTCACGTATTGTTCCTAGAACTGGAATGGAATTTGGAACTGCGAACTTGATATAAACTGTTGGATCAGCGTTTAAGCTATTATTTGGTTTCTGGAATAGACATGATCATCTGAGAGTATTTCCTTGTCTAATGAGTTACTTGGATCAGTTTTCTTTCTGCCCTTGATGCTTTGTGACTTAGGGTGATGCCACATGTTGTCTTAAAATAACTAATCTTGCACCTGGTTGGTAAAGTTGGTCATTTATTACATCCACCAGGACATTAGAAAGATAGCAAGCATTCCTTTGGCCTCTGGAAACTTCCATAACAGGTGCTCAAAATGTTACCTGTTGCTGAACTGGAAAGATGAATTCATTCTTGGTTTTTGTTTTTTTTCCCTGCTCCCAATTAATTTAGGCATTTTAGTTGTGAAATGCTAAAAATATTTCACTAACACCCAACAGTAAAAAATATAGGAGCTCACTCTTGCCTTTTCATCATCATATATAAAATACTATAACAGAAGGTCTTGACAATTGTCGATCTCCGCTAACAAATCTGGCGTCTACGGATGTGAAACAGTTTGATAGGTGAGGGGTGAGACAACTCCCCCTTCATGAATGCTGAGAGAAATGCCAGAGTTGTATGGAATGTCTAAGCAATCTGTGTATAACCGGAAGAAGTGTAGAGGTCCTAACAGCTGTCAGAAACAAGCTGATAATACTTATGAAAACAAATTCTGGGGGACTTGCATTAAGAAGCCTCTTAATGCACAGCAAGCACATTCATCTCTTTTCTCCCTCCTACAGGCCCATTGACGGCCAGCTCTGTAACCCCAACTCTCGCAGCTTCCAACCTCCTCAAGCACTACGTGCTCCAAGCAGTCTTTCCGTCCCCTCCCTACTGCGCCTTAGCTATTCATTATGTAGATAAATGTAACTTCTCTACTCTCCTTAGTTTTAGCTCCATTTTACCAATTTCTTGGATTTCCCCTGGAAAGGAGGCAGAGGAGCTGACCCAGTCAGGGAATGTCTTTTTACCTTAGGGGGAAAACAAAGGTGGGCTGGGAAGAAGATGGAAGATTTCCACCAAGAGTCACATTAGTTACTTTTGCTTTGCTCACAGAAGTATTTCTATTGCTATTTTTTTGTAGTTAGCCTAGGCTGTGTTTAGGTTATCCAGGAATTTAAACACAATATTGAATTTCACAATAGTATAAGGTATATTGTTGTATATATATACAATATAACTATTGTTATACTTTTATACAACTATATACTTTTATATGTATATAGTTGTTATACTATTTTATAATAGTTATATATATAATATATAGTTACACAATAGTATAACGACTATATACATATAAAAGTATATAGTTATATATGTATTTATACTTTTGCTTGTGTTTGAGTATGTGTGTATATCTGTCGTCTTCTCTGTATCTGTGTACACACGCATGCACACACACATACACACACATACATTGATGCCCTGCAAGTAACCAAAGCCAAACTTAGTGTCTCTCCCTAGGACCTCACATATATTTTATCCTGGCTGATGACACCACTCAGAGACCTAAGCCAGAAGCCTCCCCTCCAGCCCCTCCTATTCCCAGCCACCTCAGTGGTCAAGTCTTGCGGCTTTGCTTCTGTCACGTTTCATATCTCATCCCTCTTTCCATCCCTACCTTGTTCCTACCTCGTCATCCCATCTCACAATTCATTCAACAAATAACTACTGAGCACACCACGTGCCAGGCTGTCCTGTACGGTCTGAGGATACCACGGGGAACAAACAGACAAAAATCCTTTTCCTAATCGATTTTACAATAAACAAGTAAATAAGTATATAGCATGTACATGATGATAAATGCTTTGGGGAAAATAAAATAGGAAGGAGGACTAGAGATCATGCAGCAGTGCTGGTAGGTGCTTCTGACTTTAAATAGGATGATATCTGAACAAAAACTTGTGGAATTAGAGAATTAGCTATTCAGATATCTGGAGGAAAGCTTTCCAGGCAGAGGGAACAGCCAGTGCAAAGGCCCTGAAGTGAGAGCCGCGGGTGAGAGAGACTGGAGACACCGTATGGTAAAGAAGTGAAAAACAGACATGTAATTCCCAGTGGAGGCTTAAGGGGAGTTAGATTCAAAGCAATATAACCCGACAGGGAAGACAGCAACGGATTTTGGCCTCAGAACACTTGGGTCTGAATCTGGACTCCATCACTCACTGCTGTCTCGGTTTCCCATTGCTGCTATAAGAAATTACTACAAACTTAGTGTAGTCTTTTCGGGAAACTAGGGGGAATCCCTTCCCTTGCCTTTTTCAGCTTCAAGAGGCCCCCTGCGTTCCTTGACTGAACGTCCTAAAGCCGGTAACATTGACCCTGCTTCTGTCATCACATCTCTCTCTCTGACTCCACTTCTGCCTCGCTCTTTCGCTTTTAAGGACGTTGGCAATCACATCACACCCACCCAGGTAATCCAGGATAATCTGTCTTTAGGTCAATTGATTAGTACCCATAATTCCATGCGTGACCTAATCTGCCCTCCCCCCCTTACCATTTAACCCACTATATTCACAGGTTACAGAGATTAGGACGTGGACATCTTTGGAGAGTCCTTACTCTGCCAGACATACTAGCTGTCCAAACAGGGGCGTATCACTTCTCTGTTTGTGCCTCAGTTTCCCCATATGTTCAAGAGGATAGTAGTAGTACCCCAGATCCATTCCTTTCCATCTCCAGGTCACCATGTCTGCCAGGTTGGGTCAATGAGCAGCTCTGGTGGGAGAATGGAAGAGAAAAGATGAAGAAATCAGGAGCGTTTTTCTCTCCTTTCAGCCTCCAGTGGTTGGGGGCAGCAGCTGCATAGGCAAGGTGGCTTCAGAGCTCACTGGTCAGGACAACCATAGCTCTGGCTCCCACGGAGTGACAGGCCCCCGGGGTTGAGGTTCCCTGTGTCCTTCCACCCCAGTGCTGACAGGGACTTCCTGCAGTTGCTAATCTCCAAGCTGCTTCCTTATCTGTGTTGGCTTCTTGGAACCTGCCTTCAGTCTCTGTTGCAAATGCTTGAGTGGCATCTGATGTCCTGGCTGGGCCCTGGTCAATGCAGCATCCTCAAGGGGGCAGGATTTCAATCCCAGAATCACAGCCTTCACTGTTGGAGGCCACTCCCAAGGTCTTCTAGCTGTGCACGTGTTAGGAACCCCTGAAGTCTTGGCTGAATTGACCTGATAGGTGCGTTTTCCCCCATATCATCTATCCATGGATGACCATGACATTGACGGAAGAAGGGAGGGTTCCTCATCAATTCTATTCCTATGTGTTATTTGTATAGATGTTTGGGCTAAGAACTCTTGTTCACATGAATGGGAAAGGAAAGAATTTAGTAATGAAAATGTCACTCAATCCTTTTAAGTCCTTCTGTGTCATAAACCAAAAATCACGTAATGATCCATTAGCAAAATATATTATTGATGATAGCCAGAATGAAGTCTTTCTTCTGTGTGGTTGCAAAGAACAAGAAAACATGGGATGTACAAAGGATTTGTTATCCAGCCATGAGATCACTCGACTTCTCAGTTTCTGGGGAAAGCACCCAACAGGCTTTACCAAAACATGTCAAAACATTAACCTGTATCCCTGTTACCCCTTCACGCAGAGGTTCCTGGTTTAAACAAAATGTCGGGAAATTTTTAATGTCATTCATTTCATTGTATCTCTAGGATATTATAATATTTTTCATAAGATTATAAAAATCATATAACCTCCTTTCAATACATGTTGTCAAAACCGTGGAGCAGCAGTGATTTAGAGCACTCAGTTCAGGAAATATCCATTTGCATAGAGTGTTCAACTTCAAGCCATTTGGCCACATCAGATTTATTTCCTGTCAGAAAAAAACACAAACAAGTAGGATTTCATTTTGCAACCACATAAACCTGAAAAAAAAATTGAGAGAGAGAGAGAAAACTTAAGCAGGCTTCATGCTCAGCACAGAGCCTGATGAGGGGCTCGATCCCACGACCCTGGGATCATGACCTGAGCTGAAATCAAGAGTGAGACAGTCAACTGACTGAGCCACCCAGGTGCCCCATAAACTTCTTAATATGTAACACAAGAGGTATTATTTTTGAAAACTGCTGAGGTATAAATTACAGAATATATCTGGTAAGAAGTGATCAAAGGCAGTTAAGATAAATTCGGAAAATTAATGCATCCATTTAATCATAATTTATCTTGTTACAAAACAAGATAAATTAATCTTTATTTCTCTTTAATTAATTTTCAATAATGCAATGTAACATAGCTAAAAATAAAAGTTCTCTGTGAAGCGAGGATTATGACAAAATGTATGACATTCCTTTGGTAAATGTGTGTGTGTGCATTTTTCAAATTTTCTGGCACATAGAATTTCAGAAATAGGACGTAGAAAATACAAAACATTTTAAAAGAAGATGAGGCTTGACTCTGACTATAGTCAGAATCAATATTTCATATGACTAGATAAATCGGTTTCCATAGCCTCATAAAATAACATCCACCAAATCTGAAAGAAACCATGTTCAAATTTGATCTGTGGGGTTTTGTTTTATCTAAAGCATCTTGCAGTAGTGAGTAGTTCCAGGAAACATTGTAATTACACTGGAAAGAGTGTCATAAACCAATATTACTTTAGCTGTTCTAAGTTACATTTCATCCTAGGGGCAAGTATTGAGATTAGTTGGAAAAAAATGCTAATATTTAAACACATTTT